CCCTCCCAAATCTTTCTTTCCATTTGATTTTTTACCGCCTCCAATGCAACACTTTGACCATTAATCTCTCTCTCTCTCTCTCTCTCTCTCTCTCTCTCTGTCTGTGTGTGTGTGTGTATATATATTTGTCGATCATAAAAATATGACATTTCGAAACTATATGTTGAAATTAATCTATTGATACTAAATTTTTTTCATAAATCAATAATTTACCATGATTCATAGTCAAAGATACAAAAAGGTGACTTAACCCCATTAGTATGAGGCTTTTTGGGAGGTGTGCAAAACACATCCGTGAGTGCTTCACACAAAGTGGACAATATCATACTAATGCACGATAAGGCGGCGGTTGGCAGTCCCAACATGTGTTTATGGTTTTAGGTTATGTGAATGTCAGTTCAAAGCATATATAGTTTGTAATAGAAGTGGAAAACAAACCAACAAAAGTTACAATGATAATATTAATAAAATATAATGATAATATAATTAATACTAATAAAAGGGCCTTACCTCGAGTTGCATTATTTCACAAACTAAGCTAAGATCTGCAATGGAAGGTTCGGTATTTCCTAGTAGAAAACTTCCATTTCCCTGGAGCCAAAAGGACTCAATCTTCTCAAGGGATGCTGAAAGGAGTTTTTCACCCTCAGCTGCTGCTTGCAAGTTCAAGGGCAAGCCGAATACAGGCGCAAATGTTGTATTGAAAATATACCCAACTGTAAAAGGCAATAACTGCAAATCAGCCATCTTAATGTATTAAATATGAAAATATGAAAATAAACCAGACTTGTACTAGTAGCAGATTAGTAGACCACCATCTCATGCCATGGAGATAATTTCTACTCATTCCTTGATTCTTAATTAATAATAAATTGTGGTTGGTATGCTCGTTTTCACTTTTTGGAAAACATAAACAACAAAATTCAATTTAATGTTTTAGCTTGTATAGCATTTTTTCACATTCTGAGAAATAAAACCATAATTTTGAAAATTATTGGAACATTGAATAAAATGGATTTTAGATCCTTCTTGATGCATAAATTTTACCCCAATTGCCTAGATTTCTAAAGATCGAGAAGTTTTGATTAAAAACAATCCAGAAGTATAAGAAAATGTTTTTCGAAGTAAAAACTATTAACCAATCGTGAAAAGAATAACAAGCGCATCTTTATCAAAGATAAAGAACAAACCTGCCCCACGGCGTAAATTCGAGTGGTGCCAGTCTAACACTGAGTCTATCTTTGCTCTTCGGTGTAGATCAGCAGGGTACCTTAAAAGACATCATTAAGGTATTAGGAAGTGGAAAACTAGGCTGCCAGAAACAAAGACTAGCACTATATTTGAAAAATAATACTAATGAATAAGTGAATAACATAGGGTCATACAGAGAATAAATTTTAAAATTTTAGTAGGATAGAAAAATAAGTTTTATACTAATGAATAATGATTTTTCCAACCATTTAGAGAGATCATGAAATATAGAAAATAAGGTTTTTCCCTTTCCGCCCATATTTTCTATTTCTTCCCAAACAAGGTAAAGTGTCTTTCTCTACTTATTATTTAACCACCTTACTATTTCCTCCCAAAGATAACACAAGAGTTTAGAAATAAAATACTCATTGAAAGGGTTCCATGTCAAAACTAATGCCATTTTAATGTGGCACAAAACATCATGATTTCAAAATGTATTTAAAATTAACTAAAAGGCATAAATAAGAAAGCTTACCAATGATCTGCCACACCATACTTGGAAGCAAGATACTTGAGAATTGCATGACTGAAGAACACATAACAGATGTTATAAAATATGTTACAGAGTAGTAAAAGGTCATGAAAACAAATTAGAGTAATGTGTAACATGTGAATGACAAGAATGAGAGCAATGGACCAAACACTTATGTCCCGAAAGACCAATATTGTTTTTCCCGACCATAGGGACAAATTTACTCGAAAAGAATTAATACTTGCATCTAATCTTTTTAAATGATCATACTTCTACTTTGAGGGAAAAACAATAGTGGTCCAACTTGAGAATATTGCATAAGTTTAAGTCCTACCTAACACAAGAAATTGTGCCTGTTTACTTCCATAAGAGCTAATAAGCACTGCCTTTGTTCTCCTTTAACTTTGCATTAGGTGTTTGATCACATTTTGATAAAGTACCACGAAGTACGTCCTTCGTCCCATAGAAAGAGTTTTATTTCTCAACTTGTGTTATCCCATATTTCTAATTTTTTTTAAATATAGATATATTTAGTACTCCATACTTTTCATGAATTGTACCTTACTAAATTTTAAAGTTTTTGTACATTCATCAAAGTTGATTCTTTTTACAATACAGATATGCTTTTCTTGAATTGAGTTAAAAAAAAATACAATACTACATCTACCCATAAAAAAGTTTCATAATTTCAATTTAGCTTACAACCCAAAATTTCATTGAAGGCAAGAAGCAAGTAAAGTTTAATGTGTCATTTTTATTAGTACAATTTTACCCAAGGCTAGAACATTGTCGAAATGACTTTTTGCAGATCTGTTTTGATTCAAATCTGAAGCCCTCTTGCACAATAGACTGGGTATGATATAATATGAATAGAGCACATTGGAAGTGGAACTATACCTCTACAAATGTTTTGTGGTACATACTTCCTAACATTTGAGAATCACAAAAATTCATGTTGTAAAACAAGAAATAGGCCCTCTTTTGTTTGATAAAAAGGTTTTGCTAATAAAACAATTAGGTAGTAATATATAATGGATAGAGTAGTAATAACTAATCATTTTAAAGAGTGCAGCACTTAGCAAATTACTACCTCTCAAAGAGTTGGAAGTCTCCATCCACAATAGTGGGCACTTGTTTCATGGGATTTATTACTGCAATACATATTAGCCCAAAACCAAAAAAATTTAAGAAATCATAATACTCTTTGATATTTATTAAAGTTTTGATCCCTTAGTAAATAAACTGAGAAAGACAAACCTCCGTATTCAGGAGATCGATGCTGGCCTTTGGCAAGATGTATTTGGGCCTCCTCAAACTCTATCCCGTTAACCCTACACCGAATACAAGTTCAACAAAGTGTCCATTAGCAAACACACTTAAAGATCACAAAAGGTTGTTCATAAACTACTTCAACAACCAATCATGTGTTCCTCTATATATCTCAATTACATTTCGTAATTGTGATATATGATTTCACTGTTTCAATCATGCAAAAATGGATGCCTCTTTGTTCATTTGATTGTTTGTAAAGGCATGGTCATTTGTTCCAATGTAAACACCCCGAATGTTGGTGTCCCTATACAAGTCTAACAAGTGATCATGTATCGTTTAATAAATTTAATTGAAGTTTCCAATCTGTGATATGTGATTTCAATTCCATTTCAATTTGTGATATGTGATTTCAATTCCATTTCAATATGTTCACTTGAATGTATATAAGGGCATGCAGTTTAACAGTACTTTAGCTATCAACAATAAAGGAATGGATCCAACTGGGCAGATTACTACTAGTTCGTATAGTAAAGGAACGATCTGAAATCATTAGCAAATTTGATAAAGAAGGGGGCGGGGGGAGAAGAATGTTACCAGCAGAAGGTGAGAATGGCGCGAGAGGGCTGGGACAAGCGATCCACATACACTTTCAACGCCATCTCTCCTCTTTCTCGCTATCTCAGCGCCGCCGCCGCCGCCGGAGATCGAAAGTCTAGGTGGGGATCTGAGGATTTAGAAACGGTGGGGATTGCTTCTCCGTTGTCTGTGAGAAGAGAAGCGATCCCCTTTTATTCGCTCCATTTCACAAGGAGAGTTTCCTTTCGTCTTCTTCCTCGATAACTCCGGATTTAATTTTTCCTAAGCCAAAATTAGATCAATCATTTCCCAAATTAACAGCAGTTAGAATGGAGGGATCATTTCCTTTTTTTCTTGTCAGGTTAGAACTATGTTAGAGAGGATTACAATAGTGAAATTTGTACTTAATAATACTAAAACATAATTTCTTAATGTAGGACTTAATTTTTTTTATTCCCTAAATATAACTTAATAATGACTAGTAAAAAAAATAATATTCAAGTAATATTAGACATTTAGTTGAATAATAAATAATAGATAATGACCAATGATCATGTATTGGGAAATAAAAACATATAATAAATTCATTATGTTTTAGTCTTATTAAAGTAAATTACCCATTAAACAATAGTAATAAAAATAATAACAATAATAAAAAAATTTCAAACCCTCCACCTGGCGGAGCGGCCCGGATACAACCTCTAGCCACTCGCCCCGCCACCCCGAGCGGCACGACAAGACTCTCCCTTCCACATTGTAAATGTTCTACTCTTTTCTTCAAAATTGATGAAATGTAGTTAAAATTTGTTTAAAGAAAATGTAGTAGAAGATTTGCAAGTTAACTAATTTCTTTATCACCAAGATTCTCATGACATTGACCGGCAATATCATGGGATGACCCGAGACCGCTCCGGTGTCCGTTCGTAAAATTGACGGTTCCTACCTCTCCTAACCCCCGGTAAACCTCCCCGCCCCAACCCGAACACACCCCCCACCCCCTACAATTGCACCCCACAAATTAATTTTGACTTTGGAGTCAAAATTTGACTTCAAAGTCAAAATCAACTTGTGAGGTGCAATTGGAGGAGTGGGGTGTGTGTTCGGATCAGGGTGGGGGGTTAACAGGGGGAGTTAGGGGAGATAAGAACCGTCATTTTTACGAACGGAGCACCGGAGCAGCCTCGGATCATCCAAGACATTGTCGGGCAATGTCATGGGAAACTTGCGCTTTCTTTATTTTTTTAAAAAATTTGTTTCTTTAAAGCGTGTAAAATTATTTTTAATATAGACAAAAAAATGAAATTTTTCTATAGGATAGAGGGTATATACACTCTTTGATATACCCTTCCACAAGGGCTATGGAAGGGTGTGATGTTTGTGTGAAGTTCTTTTCAACTACTTTTATATGAAAAATAGTATAAAAATAAAACATACTCAGTAAAATTTATTCTCCGTAATTAAAAACTAACGACAAAAATTTTTACAATACAAAAGGTGACAAAACTACACTCCCTCCATTCCAAATTTAAATCATCGGTTATTGTTTACGAGGTTTAACTGAAGAAACATATTTAGAGTATATATCTAAAAACTACATAAAAAATTACAAAATGAAATATGATACGGAGTATGACGGTAGTATCTTATCGAACGAGTACAATACATTCAAAAAAAATTACATCAGAAAGTACAAAACATTCAAAGATGTTTACCAATGTTACATCTTTGAATGCAAGTCTGGTGCAGATTGTTTATGGAGTAACCTCTCTTTGACTTTGAAAAGAACAGAATGGACTTCATGGAAATGGGGTGCAGTTGCTTCCTTTGTATCATCAATCCAATTTGCAATTTTCTTGTATGGGCTTAGTATTCTTTCCCCATTCTTCCCCAAAATCTGTTTTCAACTTTTTCTTTTGAGGCCATAGAATCACAAGTAGCAGTAATCGAGAAGCAGCTAGGTTCCATGGCCACTCTCTTTGAGGGGCCACGGAGGAAACTGTCTCAATTGGGACACATACGCTGCTCCGCTTGCAAAATTGATAGTTCCTAACCCCCTCTCCCACCACCCAGTCCCGACTCCAATCCATCCCCTCTCCCACGTCAATTGCACCCTGCAAGTTTATTTGACTTTCGGGTCAAAATTGGTGACCCCAAAGTCAACTAAACTTGCGGGGTGCAATTGACGTGGGTTGGGGTTGAGGCTGGGTGGCTAGGCACTATCAATTTTACAGACGGACTGTAGGTGTCCAATGCTCTCCGTGGCCACTTAAAAAGAGTGACCATGGAACTGGCCCGTTCAACGGCTAGGTTCTCTTTGAGTGGCCACGGAGGACACTGTCCCCATTGGAACACCTAACAAGAGGTTGCTTCGAAAAGAAAACCTTACCTCGAGCTGCATGATTTCGCAAACTAAGCTAAGATCTGCAATTGAAGGTTGGGTACTTCCCAATAGAAAGCGTCCATTCGGTTGGAGCCAAAATGACTCGATCTTATCAAGGGATGCCGTGAGGACTTTCAGAGCTTCAGCTGCTGCTTGTGGATTCAATGGAAAGCCGAGCGAAGGTGCCAGCACAGTGTTCAACACATAACCGCCTAAAAAATGAAGAGAGGAAACCAAAAAAGAGCTGAAAATCGGACACTCTCAAACATATTAAAACCAACATTTGAGAAATCTTTCCAAAAATAAGTCTCGAACACCAAATAAAACATGCAGCTCAATGTCAAACTCAAATAAAAGTGATGAAGCACCTGCACCACGTCGTAAATGAGTGTGATGCCAGTCCAGCACTGAATCTATCTTTGCTCTTTTATAGACATCAGCAGGGTACCTTAAAGTAGAAATTTGGCAAAACCAAACATACTCAGCATGCAAGAGTGTACAACAACAACAAACCTAGTAATAAGCTTAGTATAAGCATAGTCGATTTGATTATTGTTTTATATTCCTATTTCTAGTTGTGCTTGTAATCTACTCCCTTCATCCCTAAAAGATTGTCACAATTTGACTTTTTTGGTGTACGAACTCCAACCGCGTAAAAATAGAGGCTATTCCAGTCGCACCTTTGATGCATTGCTACATTAATGCACCTAATACCCAAAACATCATAGAAAGTAAAAAGTGGGGTGTGTTTAAAGTGACGCTTTGATTCAATTCATATCTGTCCGCATCTAAAATATTGTCAAAAATGATTCTTTCATTCTTTTAGCTCCATTGGCAATGAACGCAAACTTCGATTGCCTATAACTGCAAAAAAATAAACAAACTCACCAATGATCCGCCACCCCAGGATATGCACGAGACAGATATTTCATAATTGCGTGACTGAAAAACACATAGGAGTAGTTACCAATCGTGATGTTGAAAGGTAATTAAAAAAAAGTCATGCTAAAGTCACACCGTGGATGACACTAAGTTGACACTGCTCATGTCTCACAAACAATGAAGTTCTCGCATACAACAACTGTTTATGCATGCTTGTGTCTAATGGTGTCAAACTTGGTGTCATCCCTGAAGTTAAAGTAGCATTTTCCTTGTAAAAAATCTGAACAATACTGAGTAGATTCTTTCACTACCTCTCAAACAGTTTGAATCTTCCATCCACTATGGCAGGCACTTGCTTCATGGGATTAATTTCTGGAATCATAACACAGAAAACAAAATATGCCCAAAGAAAACACATTTACACTATGAGCCAATAAAATACAACAACAACAACCCATTATAGTTCCAACTTTGTTCGGGGAATAGGGGTCAAAATGTACGTCGTCTTAACACTGTAAAATATGATTGAATTTTTTTTAGCTCATTACTTACATCACGCTAAAAACATTGTCAATTATGCATGTTTTAGCTCCATTGGCAATGGACATAATAAACGCAAAAAGACAGACCTATGAATTCAGGAGTTCGATGTTGGCCTTTGGCAAGACGAATTGAGACCTCCTCAAACTCTATTCCATTTACCCTTCACAAAGTAAAACAAGTCAGCTTTTGTAAGAATCCCACACCAAAGTAAAGAATAATGGATTAATAAGACCACAAGTTGACCTAATAAATTTTAATGTGGTTTGATTTCTTATGGCCAAATTAACAGAAACCTACTTTATAGACTAAATGACATCGATCTCTCACTTGATAGGCTAGTCTCTTTTAGGTAGCTTCTTTTGTTTGGTCGGTAGCAAGTGTTATCAAAGCCAACTTAGAGTGGTGGCCTGAGCCAACCATGACCAACAAAGACATTGGTCCTTAAGGATGGTCAAATGTTGTTACTAACTGAAACAATTACATGGTATGGGACTTATCCCATGTACATATGTTGTATGAGCAAATAAAGAGTTTGTTGAGTAGGTCTCTCAAAATGGAGGCTCACATGTCTACATCTTAACAACAAAGTTAAAAACAATGCAAGGGATAGAGACTAAAAATGCATGGTGGTGTAAGGACCTTTCAAATTGGGTTTATCATCCACATGTGGCAACCATATGAAGGAGCAAAACCAAAATAAACATTAAGGATTTGAAGATAAAGTTGACATAAGCAACCTGAAATGGACTATGACCATGTTTGGCAGATGTTTTAGAGTTTAGTGTTAGCGTTTTGAAAAGACTATCTAACGATAGTCTAAAGTGTTAACTTTTCAAAATTAATCTACACCATTAAAAGTTTATCTAGAACGCTAACACAAATAAAAACGTTATTCCCAAACATGGCCTATGGTGGCCTAATCTTGTCTATTTAAGAAAGAAGACTCCTTTGTGGAGATTATCACTCCATCCGTGCTAAGAAAGAAGAGAGAAGGGAAATAAATGATTTCTCAATCTCCTTTGCTTTGTTTTTTAAGAAAAATTAACACTATGTTTGGTTCAAGAAATTTGGAAGGAAAAGAAGAGAAAATGGTTCTCTCATTTTCTTCTCCAAAATGAGAAGAATTTGGTTTTCACTCTACTTGGTATATTTTGCCTTCTCATTTTTTTTCCTTCCATTTTTCCTTTCTTTTCCCTCTAACCAAACACGAAAAATTGTTTCTCACTTCGTTTTCTTTTCTTTTCCCTTTCAAATTCATTGAACCAAACTTAGTTAAAGAGTGAGTGCTTAGGAAATGTATTCCTAAAAGAAAAAAACGTGAAAAAATGTGTGTATACTAATTTGTAATAGTAGAAGGGATTGAACACTTATGCTTACTAAGCGGTTTGGGTGGCATTAATTAGCAATGTCATCCTATAACATGGCCCCAATTGGCACTCTTACGGCGCCCGATTCTTAAAATTGACGGTTCTTACCCTACTAACTTTTGCAGTAAATCCCCATACCCCGCCACGACCCTAACCCACCCCTCCACCTCCTTCAATTGCACCCTACAATTTAGCTCACTTTGGAGTCAATTTTTTTTACTCCAAAGTCAACTAAATTAGAGGGTGCAAATGGAGGGGGTGGGGAGTGGGTACCGTCAATTTTACGAACGGGATACCGAATGAGCCCCAATTGGTACCCATTTCATAGGCCTCTTGGGATGAGTTATACTTGGTTTGTGGCAATCCTAAATCTATCAGATTTTGCAAGCTAATAGGAACAAAATCATGAGAGCATTTGGCAAAAAATATTGGGAATTAAAGAAGTTTGAATATGTGAAATTGTAGGGTTTCCAATATCATTTGTGGATAAGACTAATCTTTTATTTAGACAAAAACAATAAATAAATAAATAAAAAATCTTACTTGCAAAAAATAAGAACGGCTCGAGAAGGCTGGGACATCCGTTCCACATACAGCTTCAGCGTCATCTCTTGTTGATGAACTGATAGAGATTCCAGAGTAAAGGGATCAGTTTTTGTTTTGTTCCGTAGAAAACAGAGAGTATTTTTTTAGATGAAGTTTTGTCTGATTAATATACTTAATGTGATTTAATTTAATTATAAATCGAAAACGATTAAAAGTCAAAATTGAATAAAAACTCTACCACACATGAAGTATTTTAGATATGTTATACCAAGTAATCGGTTTAGTGGGTTCGGTTTAGGTTTGGGTTTTATTTGATTCTTTGTATTCTTTTTTTTATTTCATTTTGATTTAATTCAAATCGGGATCGGGATAAATTAGCTACTACAGATATTTCAAAGTTTTAGATGGTTAGATATATAATTCGATAAATAAAAAATTGATTGCCGCATGTTTTGTGCATTCCTATCCACATAAGGGATAAATAATACTACTCACTATGTCTCATTTTTTAGTACCTATTTTGGTTTACGATTTTGACTATAATTATTTTTATTCATTTTATTTGAGAATGAGTTCTTAGCAAAGGAATGGAAGCTTTCCTATATATTTTTTATTCAATTTATTCAATATATTTTTTATATAAATGATATTGGTTTTGAAGAAAATAAGATCTTAAGAAAGAAATGAGAATGTTTGTGGTGCTTTAAAATGTGAGATCTAAAGTTTATAAAAAATTTAAAAAATAAGAAGAGAAAAGAAAATATGGAGGCAATTTTGTAATTAATTCAAACTTTGAAAAAGATACGGAGTAGGTACAACCAAATTTGTGAGAGGAAGAAGCAAATAAAGTAGAGCTGGAGGGAGAGGGACGACCGCCGCCGGACGCTATTTGTTCTCCGCTGTTGTTCGTGCCGCTGCTCTTCTCCACCGCCGCGTGAGTTGTCGCAGAACTGTCGTTCGCTGCTGTCTCGTTCGTTTAATTTGTTGATTCGTTTAATTCGTTCATTAATTGAGGTGAGTACGTGTACATCTAACATTATATTTCGTATATACATTTGATATTCACGTTCGTAGTTTGTATGATTGATTATGTGATTTATTTGGTTATAATTGAATAATGATTTATTTATATTATATAATATTATTAGAATTGATTGAACGAGGACGACCAGATTTGTCTTCATACTTAAAATTGTGTGATTTGCATGATAATAGTCTTTGAAAACGTTATACGTATTGAATTGTTTGGAATAGGATTGAACTCTGACGTTGTTGTACCTTCCCGACGCCAGACGGTAGCACAGGCGGTACCTAGCTACCGCCTTAGGACATTCGCCGCTGCCGGTATCTGTGTCGAATGGTAGGCCGGTACCGTACCAGCAGTTGCAGTCCGTGTTTCTTTGTTTGTTTGTTCCAATTTGAATCACGTATTTATTACATTGTCTTGTGTGCTGCATGACGGTAAGTGAAAGAAGTTTACACCCGACACTTGGCCGCTAATTGTTAAATATGTATGTTTATGAATGCTACTATGACTTTGCATGAATTTGGGAATATGAAATTATGAGTTTGGATACAGATAGACTACTTAGCTGAACCATAGATAAACTGAGAATTAGAATAAGAATACAGTTAGATATAAGTGGTCATGTGATGAGCCGGCGTGCACGCATGATCAGTTGGGTAAAGCGTGTGCACGGGAGTCGTAGATCTATTCATGGATGTGAGTAGGTGGTCCCACCCAGCCGACGTTGGATGGCGTCGTACCAAGCGGGTTCTTCCATGTATGTGGTTGAATCAGAACTCTAGAATAAAGATATCGGCCTTAGCCTAGGTTAGGTCATGAGCTTAGAAATAACAAAGTTTGATTACGAGTTTTGCATATGAAATTATGTGTCATAAATGCCTAAGTTAAGAATGGTATAAGTTTGGTAATCCCGATAAGCATGTTTGATTTATGAATTATCTGATATTAATGATGTTGTTGATATGTACTTGTGTGCATGATATTGTATGTAGTCATGAGCTAGTGAGTTCGTCTATGTGCATGGTCGAAATGTTAGATATTTCTCAATTACCTTCAATGTTGAGCGTGTAGTCCTTTTTCCTGTTTGCTACACGTAGGTTTCAAACTGATGAATAAGAACAGAGTCTTGGTGGCAGCAAGGGTAAAGAGATGGATGAATGCCGGCTAGAGGAGTTTAGTTAAAATTAATATCATGTTTGAACTTACTTAAAGCTTTCGCACTATTTTTGTTTACTCTGATGAATATTTAAATATTATTTTGAACTAAATGTTTTCAAATTATTTTAAAAATTATTGTGTTTGGATGTCAATTTAGTAGCAACTTGGTTTGCTAGTTCATTGGTTCATATTACGCGGGTTGGGTTGTTACATTGAGACCTTTCATTTGAGAAAGATGAAAGAAGGGACCTTTCGCGCACCGCCGCCCGTCCCGCTCGGCTCGGCTCGGCTCGGCACGACACGCGCTTGCGAATCCAACTGTGTATTGGCGTGTGCGTGCGTGTGACGCGTTGTGATGTGGCAAGGGCATGGGCCAACTTTTATCTTTTTACGAGATCGAATGGAACACGTGCGGAGACATCATTAGTAACGAAGCATGGATGTAGCATGAAAAGTCTCTGGAGACTCCTCGTGTTGTCTGCCAATCCATACGAATAGCCAAAGCCTCTCGTATATAAGGAGAGGCTAATTGCAGTAGAGCCACAAACAACTCAAAACTCTTCCTGCATTCCAACTCTCTTGTCTTCCGATCAATTTTCCAACAAGTATTTAAAATAATGACAAGTGAGTTGGAGTCAAAAAATTTGACATGTGGCTCTTTAAACTCTTCCTGCGTTCCACGTGTCAAAAAATAATGCAGCATAGATATCGCCACATGTCAAGTTTTTAAAGAGCCACTTGCCATTATTTTAAAGAGTCACATGTCAAATTCTTAGAGTCTGGATTCTCAAATTTATATAAAAAAGATTTGTCAAAAAATAATGGCACATAGATATCGCCACATATCAAGTTCTTAAAAAGTCACTTGTTATTTTTTTGAATAGTCGCATGTCAAACTGTTAGTAGACTTAGGAGTCTCAAATAGTCAAATTTATATATAAGAGATTTTCAAAAAAAAAAAATTTAAGTAAAACATTTATTGTTAACCGAATATATCTCTTCTCTTGAGCAATTCTAATGGCAAACTTTCCACTTTTTAATTTTTTTTTTAATTTTTGGAAAGTCAAATAAAAGTTTTTCAAAAAAGCAAATAGAATTGAACCCTAGCTACAAGCTATAACGGAATGCCGCAAACGGTACGGTGCCAATAAAGGCATCCAACAATCCAATTCACCAATTGTAATTAGTAGACTTTGTGAAAAGAAGGTGAAAATATTTTCTAAACCTTTAGAAAAATGGTTCATTTTCTATAATGCATTTTCCATAAATCATTCCTTTTTTAGTGCTAAAATCGTTCCTAAATCCTTACTACCCAAGACTATACATTTTTTTAATATCTTTCTCCTCAGTCCAATATAAAATTTTAATTTAAATATTGTTTATCTCTATTTGTATGTATTTATAGATTATAAAAATATGATATTTCAAAATTATGTTTTAAAATAAATCTATAGATATTAAATTAATTTCATAAATCATAATTCGATAAATTTATACCATAATTCACGATCAAAGTTAAAAAAGTTGACCGAAAACGTCAAAAAGAGAAGAAAGATATAAGACGTTGTTGGGAGTATTATAAATAAACTATTATTTGAGAATTAATATCTTTATTACTCCGTATTATTGTAGTATTTATTTATACATATTTTCTCTCAAGATATTGAATAATTCAAAGTTATCGCTTTCAGTACAGGAAGTTGAACTTGTGATCCCCTCTTAGATCTACAATAACATGTTTGAGATTTTGGTCGAATTGGTTAATTAAAAGAAATACTCCCTCCGTCCCGTGAAACATTTCCCCTTTCTTTTTTTATCCGTCCCACAAAACACTTCTCATTTCTATTAAAAAGTCACTTTTACCCCTTACTTTTTCATACCCTAACTATCACATCATACCTTTTTACTAATAATCTATCTATCAAATCATACTTTTACCCATCACATCAAAGGACATTTTTGGAAATTCAATACCAAAATACACTCCCCTTAAATCCCTCCTAAAAAGCAAATGTCTCATGTTTCACGGGACGGAGGGAGTATAAAATAATTAAGTTAGAGTTTTTGATGAATTCCATTCGTTAGTACGTACTTTGCATAACTAAAGCTTCTTTTGTAAGTCTTGTTCTCGTAATTAGTGTTTGATCACTTTTAATATGAGTATTTCATGACTCCAATTTTTTCTTTATCGTTTTGGACTTACATAATCTCAGTTGATTTTACACGGTTTCCAATATAAAATTTTAAATATTAATATCTTTATTTGTATGTATTTATAGATTATAAAAATATGATATTTTAAAATTATGTATCGAAATAAATCTATTGATATTAAACTTATTACATAATAAATCATAATTCAATATATTTATACCATAATATTGAAAAATGAATGGTGCATGCGTGGTTAAAGTTAATATAAACAAAAAATAATAGTTTCGCAAAACACATAATTATTTTTTTAATGAGTTAGAAAATGTAAATTTTAATTTACAATGACGATTTGAAATATGAAATTAAGAAATCAAATTTTGAAAATGTATTACAAAATATATGGAATGAAATTCTTCTTTTATTAATATATATTATAAATTTTATTTAACTAATGACCAAATTTTATCAATTTTAAATACAAAAAAAGAAGAATATTATGGAACGAAGATAATTTCGCATAATCTTTATTGTGCAACTTTTTTTATAGAGAAAACTAAAGTGATTGGTAAATATTTGTGGTAGAGCGAATATAACGCAATAAATCAAAGACTTACCACCCAACCTTTATACTCACCTTAGGTAAAAAAGAAAAGATGTACAAGTACCCATTCTAGTCATTCCCAACAACAATGTTCTTCTTCTACTTTTATTTCACTGATGTGTTATTTTATATATATATATATATAGGGATTGACTTCAGTGGAATGACATGCTTCGGTGAGACCGATGGCGCAAAGCTCATTAATGGCCAATGTAAAACCCACTTGAAAATAAAGCAAAACTCACCACTTTGAACACCAAAATTCACTTTTTTTTTAATTTTGAAAATTAAAAAATAATTAAAAATAAAATAGCAACACCGGTCAACCACCGGTCAGTAGCGGCGGCACGGCGGAGACCGGCGGCGCGGTGGCCGGTGATGGTCAACGGTCAAAGACTAGTCAGCACCCCTTCCTTTGATTTTTTTTCAAAAAAAATTCAAAGTGTTGAAAATATATGGTGAGCTTTGCCTAACAGTTTGGTGAGCTTTGTAATTGTCTTTGGTTAGCTTTGCAGTGGCCAGTGGTGAGCTTTGCATCATCTGACCGAAGCATGTCATCTCACCGTAAGGTGTCTCAAACCCATATATATATATATATATATATATATATATATATATATATATATATATATATATATATATATATATAAACAAACATACGTCCACACCATTGTTTGTTTATCAATCTATTGCTGTTACCAATATGATGATGCATCCCAACCCAGGTATTTTTCTAATCACATTTAAGAGATTTTGTATTTGGACTTGCATTTTACGACTAATTTTTAAATATCATGTTTGACAAACTATTTTAATGATGAATTCTATGTAGTGTATCCCCCCCGACCCAATGCCGTCGCCATGCAACCGCCGGGAGGCGGCGGCGAGCTGGCCGGCAAGGCTGGTCAGAAGTTCCTATTTGTTAAATTTAAGATGGGGAAGCATTTCCCTGCAGCCGAGGAGGATCTTCCTGCTCCGGTTGTGGTAAAGAAGGGGCAGTTTTCAGGGAAGAGTGAACTGAGAAATAAGGAGAAGGAGGTGGTGATCGCTTTTCCCTTATCGGCGGCGGCACAGGCGGCCGTGCCGCCGGAGGCGATCGAAATCTCGATCACCGACAAGAACAAAACCGCGGTCGGTAAGTTGAACCTAGAACACAACGGCGGGTGGTACGAGCACAGTGAGACCGAGGCCGCATTGACCTCGTACCCCTTCACCGCCGACAAAGACGAGAAGCAGGAGAGGCTGTGGCTTGGTGTTTGGTCGGGAAGCAAAACCCACCCCGATTTCCGGGGAGCGGTCTTGGCAACCCCTCCGGCGGCGGCGGGCAATTCCGCCGCCGTCGACACCAAGAAACACCCCTCTCTTTCACCCAAAGACCATGTCCACCCCAAGTTGGCATACTATCAACTCTTCCTTTCCCCTTTTGTCACAAAGGACCCAGAGAGAATGAACGAAAAGTACATGCAGTTCTACTTGGAGGCCACCGTAGCAAACCAAACGGTTCAAACAATGTCCTTCCCTACTCTTCCTATTGTCCCCAACGAACAAGACCTTAATAAGCCAGACTCCAGACCCTACACCCCCCCCTTCTTGTTCGTCAAGGTCAACGGCACCCCACCGGATTCCGTCAAACTTGTCCTCAAACTAATGGCTTATGTCCGTAAACCCCTGGAAGGCGGGAAGAAAACCGAGCTGAAAGCGGTCGGGACCGCCGAGAAACGGCTGAACACGGTGGGCACGGACAAGTTCGAAATGGTCAAGGTGATGTCGCGCGGAGACGGTGAGGAGGATAAGAAGGATACCGGGGTTTTGGTTGGGGTCCGGAAGAGCGGGGACCTCACCGGCTACCACGTTTTCGACGAGCCGCTGGATCGGAGCTCCAACTTGCATGCGACGGAGGTGTCGAAGTGGGAGCCGGCGGCGAACAAGATAGGGTCACTGACGGTGAGGATCAAGGGCGCGAGGGACGTGGTGGCCGCTGGGAAGAAGGGGGGGAAAGGGGCGGACGTATACTGCGTGGCGAGGTACGACCGCAACTGGCGCCGGACTGCAACAGTCGTCAACAACCCCGCCCCGCAGTTCGGCGACTCGTTCGAGTGGAACGTGTACGAGACTAACACCGTTTTCACCGTCGGCCTCTTCGAAAACTGCCAGCTCTCCGCCGCAGCCGCTGCCGCCGGCGATGACAAGAAGAAGGAACCGGCGGCGGCGGAGGACAAATTCATCGGGAGGGTTAGGATTCCCGTCTCCTCCCTCTCGAATAACAAGACTTACAATTCTGAATTCGTCTTCCGTGTCAGGCAACCCGACGGCAGCCTCAAGGAAATGGGTACGGACGATCAAACTTTATTTACTTTGTTGGCCTATTTTTTACTACTCCAGTGAAAGTAAAAGCAAATGCGTATTTATATGCAGGAAAGCTTGAACTGGAGTACAGATTCACCGGGAGGTTACTGCAGTCGGCGCTGCAATACTTCCGGCCGCCTCTTCCGCGGCTGCACTACACGCACCCAATACCGGAGGGGGACGTCGACAGGCTCCGCCCCTTCGCGGCGGGGCTGGTGGCGGACGAGCTGGCGAAGGAGAGTCCGCCGCTCATGAAGAAGGTGGTGGAGTCCATGTACGGGGCGGGCGACGAGGACCGGCGGCGGCGGAGAAACGACGAGGCCGATCGGGAGTACCTTTGGCGGTTGGGGAACTGGGCCTACTCGGCATTGGAGGACGCCTTTTCGTGGAGGAACCCTATGGAAACGTCGTGGGTTCTATCTTTCCTTATATACGCAATCGCATTTCCGGAGCTCGTTCTGCCCACCGTTTTTGTCATCTTGGCCGGCATTCCGATGAAATCATACTTCAATAGCCCCATACCAATAAAGGTAATTCTTTTTTGTTAGTAAATATAAGAACATATGTTTTTATTGTTTTTATTTTCTAATATAAGACTATGGGTCATTATCTAATAGTCATTATTCAACTAAATGTCCACCATCACTTGGTCATTATTCTTATCATTATTTAGGGAATAAAAAGTTTAAATCCTACATTGGAAAATGACTTATCTTTTAGTCGTATTTAGTGCAAATTTTTCTAAAATAATTTCATCATTAATATCTTCATTTATTTGTAAATATAAATTATGATAGTATGATATTTCAAAACAAAACTATTAATATACTCCCCCCGTTCCACAAACCCTTCGGTTTTGACTTTGGGGAAAAATAAGGAAAGTGTAATTTTGGTTGACTTTCCAATTTTTGCCCTAGATGTGATGGGAAAAAGTAAGATGAGATAGTTTGGTTATTAGTGAAAAAGTATGATGTGACAGGTAGGGTATGAAAAAGTAGAGGTAAAAGTGGTTTTTTAATAGAAAGTGAAAGTGTTTTGTGGAAAGCAAAAAAAAACGAAAGATGAAGGGTTTTGTGGAATAGAAGGAGTAAAATTTACTCCATATAATACAGTTAATATATTTTTTCCAAAATTTATGGTAAAAGTTTATAAACATTGACCGAAAAAATAAAAATGAGAGGAAAAATATAGGACAAAGGAATTGAAGTACAAGTATTATTTTGAGTAGCACTATTAAATCTATCACAATGATATACTCCCTCGGGCACGTAATGCCACTTTTGTGTACATTCTCAACTTACATTCTGGTAGTGCATTTTTGACACTGAGATTCAACTTATTTACCATAATGCTACAATATTTTTCTAGGTTTTTTCATTTTTTTTATTTTTAAAGTCCTTAGATCTTATATCTAATGCACGAGATGCATTCTTATTTATTTCATTAGATCGCATTCTCCATAAATCATATATATATAAAACATATTTTGGTATATGTAGTCTAAATTTTAGTCATGATTATGTATTTCTCTAAAAACAATTTCATTTTCAGTTTTTAGAAAAATTTGTCATACTTATATTTTATTTCTCACTCATATTTATCTATATTGAAATATACGAAGCAATTTAACCTTTTTAATCTCTGTGTCAAGTCAAACATAGAACCTTTTTGCTAGACGAGATGGTGTCGTAATTATTGATGGAGGATAATGAATTTTATTATGACTTCAGGGCCGCGTCCTCCTAGTCGACGTCATCATGGAGAGAGCCGAACCCGACCAGACGACGAATGCGAGGTACGAGGCACTAAGGAAGAAGGCATTGGAGTACGAGACGTTGTTGGACAAGTACGCAACGAAAGCGGAGGGCCTAACGGCGCTCCTGAGCTGGCGCAACCCTTTGGCCACCGCCGCCACTATGGCCTTCTGTGCCGTGGCGGCGTTGCTCCTCTTTTTTGTGTCATTCCAAACCGCCGCCACCGTTTTTGTGCTTTGTGTCTTCTTGCATCCCTTATTTGTTCCCCCGCAAGGCCAGGGAGGTATCCCGCTCCTCAACTTCCTCCACCGCGTCCCCGGCCTCAATGATAACGATAAAACCGTCATATGATTCATCATTTCATCATCATTTTGTTGTGATTTGCAAAAGTTAATACTCCCTCCGTCCCCAATTTGATTACAAATTGCGGGTTACGGAGTAAAATTTTCTACTTTTTGAAATCATTTTATTTACAAATTGGTATATCAATAACATATACTACGTAAAAATTACATATTAAAAAACTACGTTAAAAGTTCTACAAAACAAGAGGTGACAAGAATATTTTATTTTATCAAATACTTAATGAAATCGCGTAAACAAATAAAAGTTATCGAGAGGAGAGAAAAAAAATATAATTTATTTAGGGACGGAGGAAGTATCAAATAATAGAGGTTAAATTTGCTTAAAATTAATTTGGTCGCATATATTATTTATAATTTGAAACATAGAGGGAGTACTATACAATCTTTTAAGAAATGAATTACTAGTTGTATTTCTACTCCAATGGTTGCCATTAGTTATACTTTTCATTTTTGCAATTGTTACACTTACTACACAATTACACTTGACTGATTACATTGTCATATTACAATGTAATCAATTTTTCATCACACTTTAATCATTCATACATCATCTACCATTAAACTCTTATTTAGATATTTAAACTACGTGAGTCCTATTTTAATATTTTAGTCAAATTTTACTCCTATTTGGGGTGATCTCTTTAGTACTTAAAAAAGTTTATTTTTTCATTTTTATCGTCCCAAAAAGCTTTTCTAATTTTTATTAAAATGTCACTTCTACTTCTATTAATTTTTACCCTACCTATTACATTGTATATATTCAGTATTAATCCACCAAGTATTTTTTAAGACCAAAATATGAGTTCACACCGCTACATTGTCATCCGTTGCTACCGCCCACCAGTATCTTGCCAAAATATGAGTTCACACTGCTACACTTCCATATTACACTTGACTGATCACACTTTCATATTACACTGTCATTATTTTTTCATTACACTACCAACACTCTTACATCACATTGTCATTATACTCATATTTTTCTGTTAAAAGATCTAGAAATCTAATTTTGCCGTTTTCAGGTTTTTTACTCTTATTTACTGAGATTTCTTAAAAAGGAATGGGTGTCGCAACAATAACTCTATTTATTCATCATTATTTCAAGAGAAAAGTCTTTACATGATACTCAATAACCATGTATTTCCAAACATTAGTTTCTAAGAATTCTAATTACCGAGATGGAATTCACTAATTGAGAAGAATGTGCTAAAATTTAAGCAACACTTTTTTCAGACGGATGATGCAAAAGTGTTGCGGTTCACCTATACGATTGCATCGGGATTGCATTATTTTTAATTAACGAGTATCATTTCAATAATTAGTCATTTTGGAGACTAATTTGAAAAAATAAGTACTTTCTTCGTCCCTTAAAATCTTTATTTTTTTATTTTTTCTTGTTCCATAATTTCTTTCTCCTTTTTATTAAAAAAATCACTTCCACTCCTACTAATTCTTACCCTACCTATCACATTAAATTATATCTATTTACTAATAATCTATTCATTAAATACTATTTTTACCTATCACGTCAAGAGTATTTTTAGGAAGTTAACATAAAAACATATCTCCTTAAATAAAATAAAAGTCAAAATAGGAAAGAGATTTAAAGACGGAAGGAATATATAATTATTGGCCTTGTTTAGAATAACGTTTTCCTATTAGCGTTAGTATTTTGAATAAATTTTAATTTAATGATGTACAGTAATTCGAAAAACGCTGAAAGCATGTGCAGTTGCAAGTGGCAAAGAATAGGAATGTCTTGCACTGCCACATCAGCTCCTTCCTCTCATATCATGACATGACAAGACCAAAATGTCTTGCTTGGTGAGGCCTGAGTGTGGCTCTCCACCCTTCTTTTTTTCTTCTTTTTTAAAATTTTTTTAAAATTTTTTTAATGAAAAAAAGTATAAGAAAGTAGAATAAATAATAAAAATATTTTTTTATGTTTAAAAAACATAAAAAAATCTAAAAGTGATAAAAATAATTATTTGCCACTGTAGAGCATGTCACTACATTCACTTGTCACACGCTAACTGAACTATTTTTCATTGGTTAAAATGTTTCACATCATCATGTGACATTCCATTTTTTGTCTTGCCATTGTTGATGCTCTAAAACTAAAGGTTATCGTGAGATAGCCTTTTAAAAAAACGCTAACCTTTACTGCTGATGCCAAACGGGTCATTGAGTACTCCCTCCATCCAATTTAATCGCTTGTTTCGATTTATGATGTTTGACTGAAATTATTTTCAATGTAATTTATTAGAGAATTGGGGTAGAATTAAAAATTAAACTTTACATATTAGAATTTTACATTAAGAAAACTCTACGAAACAGGAGGTCATATAACTACATCATTTTATCAAATGAGTAATGAATATATTAAACGGAACTTAATTTTGGATGTGAGAGATACCATCTTAGAAATTACTCTTATTTCAAACACCACAATATTGAATTATGGATGGAGAATTAACTTTCAAAAAAGAGACTTTAATTATTCAAAGAGTCTTTTCCTTTCGTGGAAATGAATGGGTGCCGTAGCAACAACTCTTCTGATTCATCATTATTCGAAACAAAGCAGTAAAAATGGGGAATTAAACTTTCAAAAAAGATACTTTAACTAGACAAATGCATTGACCGGACAACACAAATTACCTTCCTTCCAAAAGCATCCCGATCTAGGGATGACTCATAAATATAAGACTAGGGAGCATGATATGCTATTTACTTCGTACTAATCCCGCTCTCGAAATACGGAGTACCAGTTTGGTATGATTCGAGATGGTTCGATTTTGATATAAATTGAGATGAATATACGTACCTATTTTACACCTTAAAATGTTACAATGCCCTTTTATTTTTGAAAATTGAAAATAAATTTAAATAAAAAAAACATAAAAAAAATTTTAAAAACGAAAATTTAAATGCAATAGATGCGTATCAAAACTTACTTTATATTTCACAAACTAAAAAATGAACGATAATAAAGGAGTATATCGAATCTTTATGAATATTTCTATGTTCGGATGCAAAAACTAAAACTCAAATAAATTAAAGTATAACTTACACATGATAGAACTTGAACCAAATTTTAAAAATAAATTTATTATTTACTGAAAAAATATAAAAATATTATTATTTTTATAATATACTACTCCGTAGTATTTATGTTCGGTTCAGGATTTTTGGTATAGGACATCACCTCGTACTGTTCCCAAATACCATACCGAGCATTTGGTTCGGTACGATTCAGTTCCTTCTCGATACTTTTTTGATTCGGTATTCTCAATTTTTTTCGAGAAATTCCGAGATCGCTTTGGTACTTACTCATCCCTACTTTACCATACGGAGTGAGAGGTGGGACTAGATGGAGTCATCCATGTGGCACCAACGTGGATGCGGTGTGACTGGCAACCACACCGCTCCGAGTTGGGCTTCATTCGGAGGCGGTGAGGATGAGGTGGCTGGCGGGATTTGTGATACACACCGAAGAGTGTAAGAGTATAATAGGTTAATAAAATCAGTACTTCTTCGACTTAGAGGGTGTTTGGGAGTGATTAACTGAAAGCAAAAGCACCTCATACCTGCTTCTCCGAAACGGTGTTCTACGTACAAAATAGTGGTGGTGAAAAGCAGAAGTTGACATACCAAACAGAGTAAAATCACTTTCACTCAAAGCAGAAGCTAAATTATTAAAAGTAGCGCACTGTCAAACACCCTCTTAAAATGAATGTTACCACTTGACTTTTTTTCAAACTGTGACATTGTTTGTCCACAAATTAAGTACTCCATCTGTCTTTAAAATGTTTCATGTGTTGAGTTTCAAGAGATTTAAGGGAAATGTACTTTAGTGTTGACTTTTCAAAAATGTTCTTGGATGTGATGGGTAAATTAATATTGGATAGATATATAAAGTTAGAATTAGTAGGGATAAAAATGAATTTTAATAGAGAGTAAAAAAAATTTGGAACGAATGAAAAATGAAAGAGGAAAGATTTTTAAGAATTTATGGTGTATTTAAATAAACCACCCAAGATATGAGTAAAATTCAACTAAAATACGAAAATAGGAGTCACCTAGTTTAATCCACTAAGTAAGAGTATAATGCTAGATGATATATAAGAAGTCAAGAACCTTATTGGCTTTATTTGATTGAAATTGTTTCAATCATAGTTTTCCGAACTAGACCAGGAACCGAATCGGTCAAGTACTGGTTCACTGGTCGGACCGGTGGTTCAAGTGGTCGAACCAGTGGTTCACGCATATTGTGTGCGTGTGTGAGAGTATATATACAGACACACACACACATGCATGAAAAATAATATTTAATGAAATAATACTTTATCTATAAATAAAGAATTTATGATGTATTACTAAATTTATAAGCAATTTAATTATTTGAGTATTAGCATTAAATTGAAACAAATGGGTATTTAAACAAATAAAGGAATTATAAAATAAGATGTGATATTTTTTGTTCTATACAATTTTTTTAAAAAATATTTAAATGAGTTACAATGGGGCGGACTCTCATCTCGCTTTGCTTGCTATTATGTCATCATTTCTCTCTTTTTTTCTAGCGCGAGGCTAAAACTAAAACACCTGCAATGTTATCGCTCTTTTTTTTATTAATGAAAGTGTATCCCCTATTTGATAGGGTGAAAAGTCAAGTGCCATAGAATTCGCAATTTCTCTATTCAAGCGAGCCCCTTTTTCTTTTTGTGGAAATGAAGGGGTGTCTTAGCAATAAGTCTGCCCATTCATCATTATTCCAAACAAAACTTTAATTTTAACATTTTTATTGAATTCCCTAATGTTAAATAGTATTCCGTATTAAAGCTCTAATTACGAATCAAGCAATTAACTAGCTAACTAAGGATGTTTTCGAATCCAGGTTTCTCTTTCTCTCTCTCTGTCTGAAAATTGGTATGATATGTAATTAATTATAACATCATGATGATGTGTGAATGATGTATGCAGGACGGCAAATGCAAGTGGTTGGGTCTCCCGGCGGCGGTGAGTATGATCGTCCTCTCAAGTTTCTATTGGTAAAGGTGATGATGGGTAATGGTTTTCCGGTGAAAGCCGGTGAGGTGGCGGTGAAGTTGGTGGTGGAGCCCCCCGGGGCGGCGGCGGAGGTTAAAACGGGTGAACTGAATAAGAAAAAAGATAAAGTGGAGGTGACGGTGTACTTCTCGGAGCAGGAGGTAGACGACGGCGGGGTGACGGAAGTCGAGATTTCCCTGAAAGGAGAGGACAAGACGTCCCTGGGGAAAACGAGATTGGTCGTTCCCTCGGACCGGACGCTTCTCGACGACCCCGCCCTCTCCCGTTGTTCCTTTACCAACGAGGAGAAGGAGGAGTTACAAGCGGTTGTTTGGTGGGCGGGGAAAGATAACCCCGACTTTGTCAAGGTGGTTAAAGCGGGGTCGAAAATGTACGCCCTCCCGAATTTGGTGTATTACAATCTCTGGATCAACTCTCTAAGCAACCTCAACCCCACCCTCCTCCCTCAGAATTCTTTGTACCGGGTGAAGGCAATCATCGGAGCACAATCGTCGACCACCGCGGAGTTCTTCCATCCGAGTCCCGTAACGCAAGCCTTGAACTACCCACTCTGGTTCGTTAAGGTTTACCGCAAAAGCCTGCCGACTGGCGAACTCAAAGTCGAGCTGCAGGTGGCTCCAGCCGATTCCCGCATGAAGCCGTGTGGAGAATACAAAGTCGTCGCCAGCGGCGTCCAAAAGCTGGAGGAGTTGTATAAGAAGAATGAGGGGGTGGATGTTGGGTTGAAGAAGCCCAAGTCTGGCGGCGGTGGGGGGGAGGACGACGAGGGGAAAAAGGAGAGTGTGCTCGGGGTGGTGAGGGTTGCGATGGGACGCGAGGCACCGTATTGCCACGTGTTTGAGGAGGAGCCGGATAAATGTAGCGACCTCCGAACGCCTGCTCAGATACACATGAATAGACCGCCGGCGATCGGGTACCTGGAGGTTGAAATAAAGGGCGTGAAAATAGTCAGGCCGATGAAGGTCCGCGGTGGCAAAGCCACGGCCGACACGTACTGCCTGGTCAAGTGCGGCCGCAAGTTGCACCGAACGCGAACCGCCATTGGGAGCCTCAACCACGCTATCCAAGAGCAGTGCAGTTGTGAGGTGTTTGACACGCACACCGTTTTCTCAGTCGCCCTCTTCGACAACCGCCAGGTGGCCGCCGGGGCCGGGGGTCAAAAGGAGAAAGAGAATGAGAAAGAGAAAGAGAAAGAGAAAGTGAAAGAGGTCGCGGACGTATACATGGGGAGGGTGGTGATCCGCATCTCCACCCTCCTCCCGTCGCTCCCCGCCTTCAAAACAAGAAACACCTACCTCTCCACGTTCCCGCTCTATCTTATCCAACCTAACCCCCCGGACCGCTGTAACGTGAAGCTTATGGCCGAGCTCACGCTCTCATATTGCTTTACCTTATACACTTCATCTTCCAAGCATTTTCTCCCCATGCTCTTCCGCTCCCCTCTCCCGCCACCCAACCCGTGGATACCACCCGAGGCGGAGATCCTTAGGCTCCGCCACAGTGCGGTTGCCTTGGTGGCGGAACATATGTCGAAATATGAGCTGCCGCTCGGGAAGGCGGTCGTGGAGGACATGCACGAGGACTACGAACCCAGCTTCAGCTTCCGCCGGTACGTCACCCACCGGCAGCGCCTCCTGAGGGCCGCGGCCGGGTTCTTCTTCCTCCGAAACTCCTTCACGAGGGTCGTCACCTTCGTGAAGCCGGTGAGGATGGTCCTCTTCTCCCTTCTCTTCATCCTTCTGATCTGCTGCTCCGACCTCATTCCCCACATCCTTCTTATCTCCTTCTTCGTCATTGGCCTCTTTAACTTGTTCCCTTACCCCAAGGAACCGCCCCAAATCAACCCACTGCTCGTGGATATAGCTCAGGTAATTATTACAATTCCTATTGCTAAAATTAATTAATTTTAACTTTAATTAATTATTTAATAATTATAAGATGCTAAAATTTATTAAAAATTTTGACTTTAACTTGAACCATGTGATATCTTTTCAAATCACATTGATTCATTCATATTAAATCTTAAAAAGTTGCCAAAGACCTCGTAGTCCAGCGGCATAATAGCGATTCTCTCATACAAGAGGAAGCATATGTGCTTAAAAGGTTGAGAAATGAGAATCTATGAATAGATGCTACTCCCTCCGTCTCAAAAAAACTTGTTTCATTTTTTGTGCATCCTATCAAACATTTCTACCTCATCTAAAATATCTAAAATAACTCCAAAATAACTTCTACCCGTAATATAGAAGAAAAATGGTGAATCTTTTATATTATCAGTATGCGTAAAAAATGGAACAAAAAGTTTATTTAAAGACGGAGGAGTACATTATAATAGAGTTTCTAGTGTTATAAAAATCTTACAATTTCATATCAAAACCAATTAGATCAGACAAAGAGAAGGCATCTTAACTCTTTTACTTCCTTTGGTCCTTTAGTTGTTCTCTCTTAATTAGGGTATTTTTTTTAAACATATTCTTATTACATAGTGAAGCATTACTTATTATTATTATTATTAGAATCAGATTAGATCAGAAAAATTCATAACAGAAACATATACTCTCCCCATTTGAAAAAAATAATTTCACTTTCATTTTTTGTGCATCCTCCAGAACACTTCTACCCAGGGCCTCTCTGTAACATAAAAGGACCATGTGCAAAAAAAGGCCCTATTGTATCTAATAAATGCAAAATTTAAAGAAGTTTCCTAGTAATTATTTGATTTGTTATATAATGAAGTAGAAAACATGAATACAAGACTATATAGATTAAGAGACATCCTCTAAGTCTATTTTGATGCAAAATTGTCAATCAAACTATTCATTTCCTAGGAACCATTTTGGAAGTAAAGTGTACGAAACAAGGAGTAATTGATATCATTCCATAAATTATTTGACCTAATTTTTAGCGATAATTTTAAAAAATAAAAATAAGAAATCAACACAAAAATAACTTTTTCTATCAAATTGCAATTCATTCATCATTCTAAATAGAAAATCAAAGAAGAAGAAATAACATTCATTTAAAAAAAACCATCAATTATCTAAAGGATGAAAATTGGAAAGGGCAATAAAACTAGAGATTGATACCTAGAGAGCTGGACTACTGGAGGGTCGGGATGGAGCCGTCGGGTAAGGAGGAGGCACCGGCGCAGTGCCGACGACGGTGCGTCGCCGGCGTCGCTCTTCAGAAATCGGAGGTCGGCTGCCGGTTGGTCTTCATCCCGTCCGAATGGCGATTCGATTTCCCGTCTTTCCCCTTTCTTCATTTTGTTTTTTTGGGCTTTTAATCCTTCATACACTTTTTTTGGCCCAATTGTAAGTATTTTAAAAACTGAAGGCCCCTACTTCTTTTGGGCCATGTGCGGTTGCCAACCTGACAGAGGCCTGGGCCGCCCATACTTCTATCACATCTAATCTAAAATGTTAAAAAAAAACTCTTTTTTTACTTCGAGTAAAAAGTATTTTGAGATACTTAGAGATTTTAAGTAGGGTAGACGTTTTTGCGAGATGTGCAAAATAGAAGTGGATCTATTTTTTCAAGCAAATAGAGAATAATTATAATCTAATCAGATCATTATATTCTTATCAAAACTCGTTACGAATTAAAATATTTTGTTATTTACATAGTCATATATAAGAGTACTTGTTTAGGTCAAATTATGACACTCATTGACTATAATTTAAACATTGTTTTAAATGTATAAATGTTATAAAAATTTGGTATATCAATATTAGAGTACTTGAATAAATGAAATTTGTCTAGCGACGAGAGTGGCTCGAACACTAGGGGCTCGAGCACGAGTAACGAGCGGCGATGCAGAGCTAGGTTGCCGAGCATACGATTCCTTCATATTTCACCCTCGGCTTTCTTGTGTTGGGCTTTAAAGTCTATTTTTTGATCGACCTGGTCATCTCGTTCAATACCCCTCAAGATCAAAATTTGACATCTTTTATACAAAGGTTAGCGTAAAATTAGAAAATAGAAACTCGGGGTACATCCTAAACAAGAGAACGGTGACAAATTAATTTATTTTAAAGAACATACTATTAATAAACGGTGAGGTTCTAGTGACACCGGAGTACGGCGCCACACCGGTGCCACCACTGGCATTTTGGGGCACTTTCGGTGCTCCGTTCGCAAAATTGACGGTTCCTACCCCCCTAACCCACCCCCTAAACCCCCCACCCCTGCACCCCCACTCCCACCCCGCCGTAAGCCCCTATAAAATGTGTGGTTATTATGTAACGCATAATAACCACACATTTTATAGGGGCTTACGGCGGGGTGGGAGTGGGGGTGCAGGGGCGGGGGTAGGGTGGGGGGGTTTAGGGTTGGGTTAGGAGGGGTAGAAACCGTCAATTTTGTGAAAGGAGCACCGGAAGTACTCCAAAATGCCAGTGGCACTGCTAGTGACACCGTACTCTGGTGTCACTAGAACCCCACCGATTAATAAAAATTAACTTGATCATGTAAATAGTAACATAAAACATGTTTTTTAAACATAGGTAGTGTTAAAATTTTCAAATAATTTGAGCTTAATAACACCACAAACCTAAGTTAATTTATTGTGATATGGCGACAGAGAATAAATCCAATTTGCATTGACGAGGAGGCGGACACGACCCCGAGCAGCCGGCCGCCGGAGGCGATAAAGAGCAGACACGACGAGCTGAGCAAAGTGGTCCGGGGAGCCGAGAAAAGCATCGGCCGCGTGGCGACCGGTGCCGTAAAGATCGGGGCGTTACTGCGGTGGTGGGACCCACGCGCCACGGGCGTCTTTGTCGCCTTCTGTGTCGCGGCCGCGGCGGCGTCGTATCTCACCGGCCCGCTGGTTTCCTGCGTTCTCGCCGCCGCCGTCTTAGTGCCCTTGCATGTCCTCGAGATCAAGAGAAGGATCCCTTCTCCGCTCTCCTGCTTCATGGGCCGCCTGCTCAATGCCCATCCACTCAGGCTATAATCACACCAAGAATGACACCAAGGTTGACATCACGTCCATTTTAATTTCAATTTACTTTGTATTACCTCTTTCACTTACGTTTAAGCTTTTTTCTTGAAGGAGCATTATTTTTTTAGAAATATTTGCACTAAATAACACTAAAATTTAAATAATTTTCTTAAATAGCACTTAAAATTTTTATTCCATGAATAACACTTAGTAATGTCCAGAATGAGGAATAATGTTTAGTGATTGCGAATGTTTAATTTAGTAATGACTAATGGATAATGACTAAAAGTGCTACATTGGAAAAAGAACACATATGATGCTATTTAGGAAAAATCATTGTGTTTTAGTATTGTTTAAGTAAATTCCTCTATTTTTAATCATTGCATTACATGCATTTCTATTTCTTCGATTCAATTTTATACTTATATGCTCCTACGTCAGTCGAACGCAACAATAAGAAATGCTTAACGATCATTCACGAAACAAATTAACCAAAAGGTCACAATATCCCATCTACAGATATTGTATTGTGTATGTCCATCTGTAGGGAAATAAAAGTGTGTTTGAGGTCTCAAAAACAAAAAACTTGCTCCGATATAATGATTAAAAATAGTTGTGAAATAATATTAATGTATATTCAAAGATTCTGATATAACAAAAGGCTTTCTCTTATATATTGAGAAATGAAAGAAATTAAGTCTTAGCTTGAAAATTTTACACCTACCAAAAATGCTAACCCTAAGAGAGGAAGGAAATCATTAAAAATAATAACACTATGTTTGGTCAAGAAATTTGGAAAAGAAAAAAGAAAATAATAATTTTCTCTCATTCTCCTCACCAAATTATAAGAAATTTGATTTTTCCTTTTCTTAATACATTTTATGTTCTCTCATTGTTTTCCTTTTATTTTTCTTTTCTTTTACTCTTTAAATAAACAAGAAAAACTATTTTCCATCTCATTTTCTTTTTTTCATTTCAAATTCCTTGAACCAAACATAGTGTAAAGAGATAATCAAAAAGGAAACAAATTAGTCTCCTCCAAATTTGGATCTTTTTTCCTAACAAAAGTCATGGTGTAGTATCATAACGTTCAAATGAAGAGTGTTTTTATGGTGCACGTAACTCTTTTTCTTTCTTTTCTATATATAAACATTTTGAAATACTCATCATGGTAGTAAGATAAAAAAAACCAAGGAAAATTAAACTAAAAAGAAGGAAAACAATTTTTCTCGTCTTCTTTTTCTTCCTTCTAAATTCTTCGAAACAAACATAGTGTAAGTTGTGTAACGCTCTGTTTGTTTGACATATTTGCGGGTCAGGCAAAATATCTAATTTTTCAAAGAACCGAAATTTCAACCACACATTTTCCACCCGACTTTCGAAATCGATTCTCCCCTTTTGCGTTTTAAACCTTGTCTATCGCCCACTTAGAGGTGCTTTTGTTAGCACAGTCCACATATACATATACTAGTCCTACAATATNCCCCCCCCACACACACACACACAATATACAAAGCCATTGTTCTGTAAGTCTCATCTGCGCATTAGGTCAATCCCTGTCCGAAATGCTCTCATACCTTCCCCAGAACTCGGAGGCCAAACGTAGGGCATTGAAGGGTTGGGAGGCGGGTCTTGACTTGAGGAAGCAGTGGTGGTGACAAGCGTAGTCGTTGATGGCCCCGTCTTGCCAGTGGGACCCACTGAATCCTCGTCGCTGCCCGTGATAGCCAAAGGTTCGGTTGTGCTTTTAGCTTTCAAGTTGCCGTGCACGAAACTGCAAACCACCACCTGAAATAAAATGACAATCACGCCATTCATTCTCTTGGTTGGTTGCAGGTCGAGGAAATGTTTTTATACTCTAACAATGAAGAAGCATAAACGGGGAAAAAAAGTTTCAAACCAACTCAACCACAAGTTCAAGATTGTGGATGTAATGCGAGGAGGGGTTTCAAATTAGGAATCCACGGCCATATATACTACCTCCTCCGTCCCATAAAACATTTCCTCTTTCGACTTTTGGGAAGGGAGCTGTAGAAGTTTGACCAAACCACCGAGGTCAAATGATGACAATAGAAACAAGTAGAGCTCGAAAAATGTCAAAATGGGTAGGGCGTAGAAGCTAGTTGGGATATGTTCGGTTAGATTTAAGAAAAGTAAGGGACATTGTGTTCATTTAGGCCAAATTGAAATGTTTTATGGGACATGTAAGATGAAAAAGTTGAAAAGTCTCACGAGACGGAAGAAGTGTATAAACATTGTGTACAAAAAGAATGAGAGAAATTTACCTGAACTGGACTTGCTGCAATGATTTGGCCACCAATTGCACCACCAATGACATGCCCGTCCGGGCTGCTAATGGAAATGCTTAAACCACCGGTCCGGTTCTTAGGGCCGCCGATTTCAGAAACCAAGAACGATCCAGTCAAGGAGAGCATTTCAAAACGGCCCTAGAAAGGAAACGACGAGCTTTATATATATAAAGATTCATAAATGGATAAATAAATTACCAAATAATATAATGTACTTATTTACCTCATACGTTACGGTGGATCCAGAACTTGCTGGCGGGGGACGCAATGTAACAGCAGCAAGAGTGCCATTAGCTGACAATACACATAAGGCTCTTTGTCTCTGCTGTGCAAATGCCAGTATTTTTGCTGCTATATCCTGCACACACCCAATATGTGCAAAAAAAATTGTCACAAGAATGAAAGAACTCTAAATATCCATAGTATATAAAAAAGTGGGAAAGTTTGGGAGAAAACTTGGAAAAAAATGTTAAACTATATGTAAATTTCGAAAAGTTTTAAAGAAGCCCACTTGATTTTTGTATTGATTGGATTTAACACACAAATAAAGGAAGAAATTGAGTGTGAGGCATACCTCTCCTGCCCCAATTTGTATGATATATGGTGTGAATGCAAGCCCAGCTGAACTGTTCATCCATTCACCTGCAGCAAGTAAACAACACCCACCATTTCAAAAATGCTCTTAACAGGAAGTCCATGTTTGTTTGTTTCGAAATGCCATTCTGATCCTTTGCTTTTTGGTGTGTTTTTTAGTTGAAAAAGGTTTGGCATTTTCATTGAAATCTTAGCAGCCAAACGAAGCTTGAATAGATCATTCTCATTGAACAAGCAATTACTCTCACCCAATGATAATTTCTCATTTTCCTAGTTACTCTAAGGAGTATTGTTTTTACTTGCCTTATTTCAGGTTACTACTAACTTTTCTACTTAACGCAACGAAAATGTTTACTCGTTACGAACCATCACTAAGTTCCACCTGCTAATTTTATCAATTCCCTCATTAAAAATTTCACGTTCTGAGTCACGTAAGGTACGTCTATTAAAATCTCATTTTCCAACTTTTCCTTCAAAACACTCTCGAATTTAAGCGCATTATTTTGAATCATTTCTTATTCTCCTCACTTTGTTGCTTGTTTCGTTCTCACTTAACTTGAAACTAATCACCTAATATCAAGTTTCTTTCTTCTCTAACACACTTCAATGTAAAAAGGATAGTCTTGAACAAAGAACAAGACAACAAGTAATCCATAGGCATGTTAGATTGTGGAAGGGAAGAAGAAAACACACCAAGAGGGGCTAATTGTTGTTTCCACCCACTACCCGGGGGCCTTCCCTTGGCCCGTTTAGGCCCGATGGACGACAGAGAAGCCACGGTAGACAATGCTAAAGACATGTTGGTAGCCCCATCTGGCCCATATTTCCTAGGCCTGCCTTTCTTCTTCTTCACCGGATCACCACCATGAACAGTCTTGCCAGAATGGTTCCCAGAATAAAATGCCCCATCCCCAACATTGGATTGGACTGCCATGTCAGGGGTTGTTTGGGGTTTGAATTCAGACCCATAAGGCGGCGGCAGTCTCCCGCCGCCGCCTCTACTGAGATAGTATGAAGATGAGCCAGGGAGTCCTGTCCCCTCCCTTATATCCATACATCTACACACCTAAAACTTACCCACTCACAGGAAGAATCTTTCCTTACCAAATATATGCAAAAGAAGAAAAAAAAGCTAATCTTTGGAACCAAACTAAAAGAAAGAATCAAAGTTCAAGAACAAGAAATAATCATAGACACGAGTTTTAGATGGGTTTTTCATCATCATTAAAAAATGCTATGAACTTGAATCTTGAAGCCACCTTCACAGAGGGGAAGAGTAAAGGTGGAATCTTGGAAAACTAAAAGTCCATAGAGTAGACATCAGAGGTGATCATGAAGAAGAATGCCTAGATTCTGCTGCCATGTAAAGTCACCAAAAAGACTTGGGGTAAAAAGAAGTCTAGCAAGAAAGAAGCCACATTTACCATGGGAATGGGAGAAAAAGGAAAAGGAAAAGAAACCCTAAATTGAAAATTTGCAGAGTTTGAGAGAGAGAGAGCAATTGAAGGGGGGGTGGGGTATTGACAAAAGTGAGATGGTGAAATAGAAAACTTTTGGAACAATGAAATAGAAAAGAGAGTACACCAAAGGTGTACCCCATTTTTGTGGTAATGGAGGGGGGTGAGGGACAAATGGGGTACTGGTACACCAAATGGTGTACCCCTAGCATTTTTCAATAGAAAATTTTGAGCTTTTGAATTAAAGCGGAAGACAGCTTTTTCCTTTTATTTTGTTCATTGATTGTAGTTCTTCCTTCATGGTCCAAAAGGTTGCCCGAATGGTGGAGGAGGTAAATTATAGTGACTCAGTTAGCCAAAAATGTTAAACTCATGCCCACTGCGCACAAGGAGCCTCCTCACCCTTTATGGAATTTTCGGATAACTCTCACACTGTCGTTTGCGGGACTCGATTCCTGATCATCAGTCCAAGATTTCACGTTCTCGACCAACTGAGCTGCCCATGCAGTCATAACTCTTCCTTCACGAAAGCTATGTATGGTGTTACTTCTAAAAATCTTTTGGGAAATTTAATTAAAGAGCACTAAAATATAATGATTTTCTCTAAATAACATTATACGTAGTATGTGGTTTTTTTTTCAATGTAGCACTTTCAGTCAATATTCATTAGTCATTACTTAAGTAAATGTTCGCCATCACTAAATATTATTTCTTCTTCTGGATATTATTAAGTCCTATTTTTGGTATAAAACAGTTTAAGTGCTATTTTTAGAAAATTAACTTAAGTTTTAGTGCTATTTATTGCTAATATATCAATTGTTTTTGTCACTCTATTTCTGAGTTCTTTTTTAAAGGGAAAATAAGAAAAATAATTTATGTAAATTGACTTTTAGAAAATGAATAGGAAAATGAATTTTTTTTTTAAGTCATTTTTTTTTTCTCCTCGTGCTTGGCTACAAGAACCGTAAAATGAAAAATTACAAAATAGAGTTTGAAATCTTGAAATTGAGAGAGAAAATGTTAGAATATAAATAACTGTTCCTGGGCCACAACTACAAGCTTGAGCTTTTGGTTGAATTGGTTGCTTAACATGGTATCGGAGTCTCGTTGACTATGAGGTCACGGGTTCGAAACTCAGCGCCACCCAGTTTAAAAAAAATTAAGATTTCACGTGTAAGACTCGAAAAAAGACTACACCTGCACGTGAGGGAGCGTGTTAGAATATAAATAACTGTTCCTGGGCCACAACCACAAGCTTGAGCTTTTGGTTGAGTTGGTTCCTTGACAGAAAATTATGGTGAGAGATCCGGTCATCTTCTTCGTGGAGAACAATAATTTGAGTTGGAAAAAGCAGCGACAGAGATTTGGGATTGTATGGGAACACTAAAGAAAAAAAACATGGGATCACCAGAAATAGGTGTGAGACCACAGGAAAAAAATATGAATATTGAAGCCGCAATAGAGAATGTGGGCGTTGCGCAGTTGACAAATAGAGAGTACTAAGGAGATAGACCCGAGTTCGATTCGGCCTCTATAAGTATGAGATACAAGAATTACTCCTTGCCACCAATCTGCAATCAAAGTCTAATTTACTTCCTTTTATTCATTGATTAGCCGAGTTTGAAAGGTCCCTCGCAATGGGGCTCGTCTCATTTTTTCTAGAGAATGTAATGTCACGTTGTTATATTATTCTTTATTTGATTTTGTACCATCTATTAAAAAGCTTGTCCACTCTAACTAAATTTATTTACATAAAATAGTCAATAACATTAAAATCATCAAAACAAGTTGGTAATTGATCTTGTTATATATACTCCTAAACATGAAGCTTGTCTTAACATAGGTATATAGAGTATACCAATATTAAAAATTATGATTCCTATTATGTCTTAATATTCATAAAAGCTTGTTTTAGGATAACTATGTCTCTCTAAAATTAGATAGGAAGACATAATTTCAAATCCATGAATGAGTATTAAAAACTCTGAAGTTTTATGGATGAACATAATACGGTATGTTATAGTATTTAATTTGTACCGATCTCGATCTCGAAGTATCAATTCTGGATGGTACAAAATCTGTTTCGATATAAGTCGGGACGAATATATACGTATCTAATTTAACTTTTAAACGTAACAAAATCTTTCATTATTAAAAAATTGAATGTACACTTAACTAAAGAAAGATAAAAACTTTTAAAAGTGAATAATTAAACACAACAAATGATTACGAAACTTAGTTTATTTTATTCAATTTTAGATTCTCCTTAAAAACATTTAGCATTTGTTGTAAATTACTCCGTATAATTTATTTGGTTCTCTTTAATCTTTGAGAAATAAACTAAGATTAGTTCAATGAAGAAATCTAAAAAGATTATTTTTATAATATATTAGTATATATATTCTGTTCAAAATTCTCAATATAAAAAGTTACTTCGTACCGTTTTTTTCGATTTGTATTTTCTATTTTTAGGAAACTTTCTTTTCTTTATTTTCTGTCTTTGGTTTAGCTGCTAACCTTAAAACAAAGAACAAAACTAGACAGTGACCTGCGAATCTGCGATCATAGGAACAAAAGTCACCAAAGCGGCCGCGATGGTGAAGAACAAAACAGATTACGAGGAAGATGGTGAGACCAATGGGGTCAAAACGAAGGCAAAAAAGAGGAAAGCGGTGAGAGATGTCGAGGAGGATGGCCGCGGCGAAGATGACAACAGCAGGAAGACTAGGAAGAAGGATGCGGCGGAACCTGAAACGGGACCCTGTGCCGGAGAGGAGGAGACTCCGGCGGATCCGCCGGCGGAGGAGGACGCTAAGCCTATAGGCCGTGTGGTTAGGGTTAGGGGAAAAGGCCGATGCCGGAGGAATCACTACGCTGCCTTCCAGTATAATGGATTCCAGTTTGACCTAGTGAGTGTGATTGTGTTTTATCTTCCTCCAAATTGAGATTGATCATTTCATGTGACATTGCCTAGCAATATTTCCGGGCCAACTACCATATTCGGTTCGAAAAATTGATTGTTCCTACCCTTCTTCCCGGCAAACCCCCACTCAGTCCCAACCCAAATTGAAGGGTGCAATTGAAGGAGGGTGGGTTCGGGTCGGGGCGGGGTGTGGGGTTAGTCGGGGAGTTAAGAGGGGTAGGAATGATCAATTTTACGAATGAGGCAATGTAGGACTCCCGAGGGACATTGATAATCAATGTCGTGGGAACCACCTTTTTTTAAGGGGAATCTAAGATTGCTCCCTACTTCCATCAAAACCAAACAAAGTTGCACAAAAAAAACTTACTTTTAATTTACCCTTTGAACGAAACAAACCGGTGATCAGAAACTCTTTACACAAAAATTTCCTTTCTAGTTAGACGTGTAGAGTGCTTACTATGTGTTATTACTGTCTAGGATGATCCAGTGCTGATAGTTCCTAAGGAGACAAAACAAAAACCTGGGGTTGCTATTATTAAGGTATTATTATGTTTTGTTTGTGTTTCTTACTTTTCCCTTTTACTTGTGCTTAATGCTCATTCAAGATTGGAGTTTCTTACTTATGGTTTCTTGGATTCTTGATCCCATAAGTTGTTGGAAGTTAAACGTGCCTTTTTCTCTAAACTTAATGGAGATTGATCATATATTCAACATGTCAAGTAGAAGTTTGAAAATTTGTGTTCGATTTTGCCTTTTAAGACTTCAAGTATTGAGTGCTCGAATTCCCTAATCGTGTACTCCGGAGTAACTTATATTAGTTGCTGTTATTTGTGATAGAGTAAAATAATGCAATTTAATACTCCCACCATCCCAAAATGTTCTTCCCAATTCAACTTGGCATGGTTAACAAGAAAATAGAGTTGTGTGATTGTTATTTATTTAGAAAGAAGAAAAACAACATCAACTGCATAAGCATTGCCCTAAAAGAAATAATAAGCAAATTTTGGGACCCCCCCACAAAGACAATGAGAAGAACATTTTGGNCCCCCCCCCCCCCCCCCACACACACACACACACAAAAGACACACAAGTAACATATCCAACATGCTTCACTCTTCCTTCCTTTTGTAAGATCAATAGTTAATTTAACGTGCATGGTTTTGTAGTTCCTTTATAATTTGTTGTTTTTTCATGATCAATTGCTCCTTTAGGAGACTGGTATTGGTAAGAATGGATTCTAACAGACGATGCTTGCTCTCGTTATACCTGCCTTTCTGATTCTTTCCTGCAATCGCATCTCTCTTATTAACAAGTTTTTGTTTTGCTTTGCGTTGTGTGTGTGTGTGTGTGTTATTTATTTATGTTTTTGCCTTTCCGATCTGTTTTTATTTTATAGGGGTCTGTTGCAGGATATTTATAAGTCCCACAAAGGGAGCATGATGGTAGCTGGGCAGTGGTTTTATCGACCTGAAGAGACAGAAATTAGCACAGGTGCGAACTGGCCCTCACATGATTCAAGGGAACTGTTTTACAGCTTTTGCCTCAATAAGATTCCTGCAGAGTCCGTCATGCACAGGTGTACGGTGCATTTTATCCCCTTAAATAAACAGATTCCAATGCGCAGTCAACATCCCGGTTTTTTTGTCCAAAGAATTTACGATACGGAGAAGATGAATCTTTTTAAGTTGTCTGAGAATGATTATGAAGAGAGCAGGCAGCACGAGATTGATCTCCTTGTTCAGAAAACATTTTCACGACTTGGAGATCTTCCTGACATTGAGTCCGAGGATGCTGCTCTTGTGAAGGAAGACCATTTGACCGTGTCGACGAAAGAGTTAAAAGTATGGGGTCCTCTTTATATTTGCTGTCATTTAGTTCATTGTCATCCTTTTCCTTGAAGATTGTTGGGAGGATATAGCTAGCCAGAACCTTTAACCAACGGTTATCATGAAGATTTAAGCCATATTAAATGTTTAACCACATCTAACTAAACCTGAAAGCCCTACACACAATGGTAACCCCCAATCTAGTAGTCCTACCCTACAAGGCTACAACTGTAATCCTCGATCACCAAACTCTCTTATCTAAGATCATATCCTCAACGAATCTGAATTTGACAGTTAACTGATTTTAGACCGTTAACTGACAGTAATTTTTGGGTTTTAAGTAATTTAGTACTCTGACGGTCTGACCTTCGATTGAATAATCTCAGGAGGGTATGACAACAGAAGAAATAAAGTCGGCGGCAACCTGATGAGGAAGAGCTCAAACAGGTTCTTATTTTACGGGCTATTTATTAATCACATATTCTTTTTTACTTGACCACTCATTTAAGTTATTCACCCACTTATTCTTTCATTAAATGCTTAGCTATGTGGAGAATAACTTTTCATTTTGTTTTTAATGAGACATAGCAACAACAACAAGCCTAGTAAAATTCCACCAAGCGGGATCTGGGCAATGTGGGTGCACGTAGACCTTGCCCTACATTTTTTTTTCTCTTTCTTTTCGGGTTCTTTTGTGTATTGTCGTGTCTTTTTTCAACTATCAGACAAGCAATGTCCTCTCCGTCACATAGATAGTTTTGAGAAACATTTGAATCTAAAAGAAATGCATATAGGGAACTATACCCTTAGCATTTCACTGGTCTCTCCGTCCCAAAAAAAAGGGTGGGTACTCCGTATTATTTTTGTCCCAAAAAAGGAGCCCTATTTGCTCCTTCCGACTTTCACAGCATCAAAGTTCTACGCTTCTTTAACCGGGCAAAAGTGTTTATATATGCTCTCTTAGTAGTTAAACATGCGAAGCGTAGGGCACCTCGCCTGGTTAGAGGCAATGTTGAGCAAAAAAGTTTCCACCTTTAGATTTCATGTTCTGAATGGTTGCTTGATTGTGTGCCAGCCTCAGTTTGGATCCTGTGGGAGTACTTGGGACGCATCAAGACATGAAGTTTCCTCACACGGCAAGAAATGATATACACTCCCGTTCCAAAATGGATACCACTGTTATTTACTGTCTTTTTGTAACTTTTGTTTGTTTGTATGTTTTCATTGATAATTTGATAAAATAAAATATTTGTGTCACCTCTTCTTCTATAGAAGTTTTTATGTACTTTTGAACGGTGTAATTTATACTCCCTCCGTCCCAAATTATAATGCCTGTTTACTATTCACAGAGTCAAACTTCATTCACTTTCTTTCTCTATTTTCGTTAGCAATTTGATAAAATAAAATATTATTGTCACTACTAGTTTTGTAAATCTTTTGATGTAATTTTTTAATATGTAATTTTTGTTTTTTAATTCTATACCATTTGTCATATAAAATGGTTTGAAAATAATTTCAGTCAAACATCGTAAACCAAAACAGGCGTTATAAATTGGGACATAGGTAGTACTTTTTATTTCTATATCAATTTGTAATTAAAATGATTTTAAAAGCAATGAATTGTTTGGAGTGTTACATCCATTATGAGTATACTATTATGATGGTGTCATGGTGGATAATGTTGATGATGATGGTGATAATGATGCCTCTTATTAAATATAGTGTAATGATTATACTCCCTCCGTTCCTAAATAGATTACAAATTTCGGGTTACGAAGAAAAATTTCCTATTTTTTGAAATCATTTTATTTACAAATTGGTATATTAATAAGATATAAAAATTGCATATTAAAAAATTACGTAAAAAATTCTACAAAACAAGAGGTGACATGAATATTTTATTTTATCAAATACTTAATGAAACCGCGTAAACAAACAAAAGTTATCGAGCAGAGAGAAAAAAATTGTAATTTATTTAGGGACGGATGAAGTATATAATTAGGCTAGACATATTGTATTAATCCCTTTGTTTCTAGTTAAAATTTTCTGGTGGACTTTGATGTAGATTAAGAAAAAGTAAAATATTCACCCAATTCATTTCATAAATGAATGAGAATTTTATTTTGAGACAACCAAAAAACAAAAGTAAACTTAATTTTGGGACAAATGGAGTACTAAACATTGATATTGGCCAAAAAGATGCAACAATATTATTCATGCTATACAAATTTATCAACCAACTATAATCAAAATCATGATGAGTATGTGTGGACACGGTTCTAGTTATGAATCGCTATTTTTGAATCCTATCAAAAAAGATAGGTAAAGATCTTGGAACCATAATCAATTAAAATTGTACGGAAAAAATATATAATTCGAGTTTGAGAATATAATTCGAAAATATAACTTCGAGACCGGGGAGTATTTCTAACAAGCATGTGATAAAAGATCATAGATGATTTAAAACATGTTTGGATAACATCCATGTAAGTAAAGAATAGAGCATGTGCAGTGGCAAGGAAGAGGGATGCCTTGCACTGCCACATCAGCTTTTTTCACTCTTATCATGGCATGGCAAGGCCAAAATGCATTGCTTGGTGAGGCATGAGTGTGGCACTCCATCCTTCCTTTTTCTTTTTTTTTTCAAATAATTTTTTTAAAATTTTTATGAAAAAAAAATGTACAAGAAAGTAGAATAATTTTTTAATAAAATAAATAATAAAAATATTTTTTTTATCTTTAAAAAAGTAAAAAAATGTAAAAAAATGATAAAAAAATAATGACTTGCCATTGTAGAACTTGCCACTCCATGCAATTGCCACACGCTGACTGGATTATTTTTGATTGGTTAAAGTGTTCCATGTCACCGTGTGGCATTCCATTTTTGCCTTGCCATTGTTCATGCTCTAATGTAATTGCGTGTGATTATACTCTTCGTTTTGTTTGGTTGGCTGCGAAATTAAAAAAAATCAATGTGTAATTGGAGCATTGCTTTTACACTTTCATTATATTCTTAAGGGAGGAAATTGTAATTGGCAAAAGGAATAAATGCATAATTAGATTTAAAACATACTACATATACCAAAAGAAGACCTTTATTATTTTTATACCAAAGGCTTTAATTTTTTTTTGTAAACTAATAGGGGTAGTACTGACGAGGGAATGGGAGTCAGTGAGGCATTCCAAGTGGCGGTGATTATTCATGTGCTCCCGCCGGCTTGGGATGAGTTCCGAAGCTATCTCAAGCTCAAACGGAAAGAAATGACTTTAGAACAGTTGCTTGTTCGTCTCCGGATCCGTGAAGAGGGTCTCACTCGCGAGAAGAAAGTAGTTGTTGCTAAGGCCAATGTGGTGGAGCATCCACCCAAAGAGGGTTCTTCCAAAGGGCCCAAGCCAAATAAGGACAAGAAGAAAATTGGTCCTAAAGGAGGCGTCGCGAAGCCCAAGTTCGCGGGAAAATGCTACAACTGTGGCATTACGGGCCACCGTTCTTCAGAGTGCCGCAAGAAGCCTCAGAAGAAGAAGCAGAAGAAGGAAGAAGCTCTCTGCTCGGAGCTAGATGCTATGGATATTTGTGTTGTCGTGACAGAGGTCAACCTGGTTGGGTCTAACCCGAAAGAGTGGTGGGTTGACACTGGAGCCACTCGTCATATCTGCTCCAATCGGGCCATGCTCTTTAACTTTAAGGAGACTTCTGTCGACAAGATGTGGATGGGCAACTCCACCCAATCCGAGGTTCAAGGCGTGGGCAAAGTTAAGCTCAAGATGACATCCGGCAAGGAGCTCACGCTGAATGATGTGTTGTATGTGCCAGACATACGAAAGAACTTGGTGTCAGGCTCACTATTGAACAAACATGGATTCCGCATGGTGTTCGAGTCTGATAAGCTGATCTTGAGCAAAAAGGGAATATTCATAGGCAAAGGTTATATTTCTATGGGCTTTTTAAGCTTAATGTACTCACTGTTGTTGAGAAAGTTAATAAAACTCCTGTTGCCTATGTTTGTGAGTCTTTCGATGTGTGGCATGGAAGACTAGGACATGTTAATTATGCATCCCTTCGGAAATTAATTAACATGGAATATATCCCTAAGTTTGACATCGACTTGTCCCACAAATGTGAGACGTGTGTCGAAGCAAAGTCAACACGAAGTTCGTTTCAAACAATTGAACGAATCACTCAGCCACTGGATTTAATTCACACGGATCTGTGTGATTTCAAAGCAACGCCTTCAAGAGGTGGTAACAAATATGTTATCACTTTTGTCGATGATAGTACGAAGTATTGATATATTTATTTACTTAAAAGTAAAGATGAGGCGTTGGACACTTTCATTCGGTATAAGAATGAAGTAGAAAATCAACTCAATCGCAAAATTAAAGAGATTAAGAGTGATAGGGGCGGGGAGTACGAAGCTCCATTTGCCGAATTATGTGCACAACAAGGAATTGTGCATCAAGTTACTCCGCCATACACACCCCAATCAAATGGGGTGGCGGAACGTAAAAATCTCACTCTCAAAGATATGATGAATACGATGTTACTCAGTTCGGGGCTACCCCAAAATATGTGGGGGGAGGCTATTTTATCTAGCAATTATTTGTTAAATAAAATATCCCGAAAGAAACTCGATAATACTCCTTACGAGTTGTGGTATAATAGGAAACCTCCCTATAAATACCTGAAAATGTGGGGGTGCCTTGCAAAAGTTTTAGCACCACCACCAAGGAAAATAAATATTGGTCTAAAGACTGTTGATGGAATCTTTATTGGATACAGTGGTAGCGCGTATCGATTCTTAGTGTATAGGTTTGATAATCCAGAAATACATAAGAACACGATAATGGAATCGATGAATGCAACATTCTTCGAAAATATATTTCCGTTAAAGTCGAGGGAAGAAGCAAGTTCGTCCAAACGTTCACATGATGAAATGTTGAACGATGGTTCCTTGGATCAGTCTAATACCGGTATAATTGATGAAACCGAAACTGAGACTGAACTAAGACGAAGTAAAAGGACACGGACTAAGAAGTCCTTTGGTAATGATTTTTAACTTATTTGTTGGAATTTGAATCAGGGACTCTATCATTTCTGATAGAGACTGAACCCGATATTCTAACATGTTTATTAGAAAATGAACCACGAACTTATCGTGAAGCAGTGACTTCGTCTGAAGGCCCTCAGTGGAAAGAGGCAATTAAAAGTGAAGTTGATTCTATTATGCAGAATCACACTCTGGAGTTAGTGAATCTACCTCCTCGATGCAAACCGTTAGGTTCTAAGTGGATCTTTCGAAGGAAAATGAAACCAGATGGTTCCATTGATAAGTACAAAGCCAGACTTGTAATTAAGGGTTACAATCAACGTGAAGGCTTTGATTATTTTCATATATATGCTCCTGTGTCAAGGATAAATTCCATTAGGATGATACTTGCAATAGCTTCCTTGTGGAACTTAGAAGTTCATCAAATGAATGTGAAAACAGCTTTCCTTAATGGAGATCTAGAAGAAGAGATCTACATGGAACAACCAGAAGGGTTTATAGTTCCTAGTCAAGAAAGGAAAGTATGTAAACTTGTTAAGTCATTATATGGTCTTAAACAGGTGCCAAAAGTATGGCATGAGAAGTTTGACCAGGTAATGATGAACTCTGGGTTCAAAATTAATGAATCAGACAAGTGTGTTTATCTAAAAAACACATCCCAAGGGTATGTCATGTTGTGTCTATATGTAGACGACATACTCATAGTTGGTAGTGATGACAAGATGGTCAAGTCTACCAAAGACATGTTAAACTCGCAATTTGACATGAAAGATATGGGTCTGGCTGAAGTAATTCTTGGAATTAAAATTGTGAGAAGACCTGGGGGTCTAGCACTGAGCCAATCCCATTATATTGATAAAATCATTGACAAGTTTAACAAGGATGACGCTAGAGTAGCAAAGACGCCGTTGGACGTCAACGCACACCTGGCTAAAAACCGAGGTTCCAATAACTCTCAAATTGAGTATGCGAGAGTTATTGGAAGTTTGATATATCTAATGAGTTGTACTCGACCAGATTTAGCTTGTGCCATAAGTAAGCTGAGTAAATACACCATCAATCCGAGTGATGAGCACTGGAAGGCTATTGTACGTGTGATGAGATACATGCGGTATACACGTGACTATGGTTTATGCTACTCGAGATATCCACCGGTACTGGAAGGATACTCGGATGCGAATTGGATATCTGATAGTAAAGACTTGAAGTCCACAAGTGGATATGTCTTTACGCTAGCGGGTGCAGCAATATCTTGGAAATCCTCAAAACAAACAGTGATTTCTAGGTCCACCATGGAGTCTGAGTTTATAGCTTTAGACAAATGTGGTGAGGAAGCTGAATGGCTACGCCACTTCCTAGAGGACATTCCAAGATGGGATAAACCAGTCCCACCAGTTTGCATCTATTGTGATTGTCAATCAGCAATAGGACGTGCAAAGAGTAATATGTATAATGGTAAGTCTAGACATATTCGTCGTACACAATTAGACAACTTCTCACAACTGGGATTATCACGATTGACTATGTGAAGTCAAAAGATAATCTGGCGGATCCACTAACCAAAGGGTTAACAAATGAGTTGCATGAGAAGTTGGTGGCAGGAATGGGTTTGAAGCCCTTGTGCTAGGACAGTCCTATGAAGGAAAACCCAACCTGGCTGGTACCCAGGTTCAATGGGACAACCTACTTGTAGGGTAAAGCGAGGTCACTGTGGGGGCGGTACCGGAACCTTCGGTCAGTCCCTTCTGTTCCTGCTGAAGACAGTGACTCCCGAAAATGATGAGGTTAGCATATAAATATGCTTTTATGATTCTTAACCAATAGACACGGTGGTCTAAGGGGAGTAATCGGGATACTCTTAAAGAATCACCTATGTAAGAGTGAAGTGTGGTCGCTTCAAACGGAGGATCTTGGGCTTAATCCTCTAAACACTCTCGCAGAACCAGGCGCGCGTCCCACGACCAAAATGGGCACAACCATGAGAACAGAACGGCGTTTGGTTGTAATCTATGTATGGTATACTATCGTTTACATAAACGGCAGTACAGTTCAAAGACATCGTGTTCTACTGAACAACCAGTAAAGAAGGTATACTTTACAAGGGACAGGTTCAAAAGTGGAGACACTTACCTATTCTTTGCAGGTTTTCAATCATGGGATGCTGTCGTCCCCCTCAAATCAATTTTTCATTGATGTGGGGGATTGTTAGAATTTTTGGCATTTTAATAGGCATTAAATGGACCAACTTGGGTTTAATTATCATTAGGTCCACTAACGGTTTTAACCGTTAATTAATGGACGTGTGTTCTCTTAAATGAGATAAATATTTTGATTTATTATATGCCAAAAATGGTAGAAGGGTGAATGAGAAATTGATTCTCGGAGTTAACCCGTTACGTAATGTTTAAAATTATTCCACTTTTACGGAGTTAACTGGTCATTAATCTCCAATTAAATAGGAAAAATTTTAAACATTATGGGTGTAACCCCCATGTTAATGGTGGTATTAACACACCATTAAAAATATTACTAATGATGGTGAGTCATGGCTATTGAATGTGCCTTCATGGCATATAAGTTACAAAATGAAGAGCCATGAAAATGCCTATTTAAATGGAGGGACTCTTCTCATTTTTTTGAAAGCATCCATACGTGAGAAAGAAAGAAGAGAAAGGGAAAACTTTATTGTTTAATCTTTAGAGAGAGCTCTTGATTTTCCGGCCATACCCTTCAAAGTTTTTGGTCGCCAACGTTCCTACGTTGTTCTTGTTCGTTGGTGTGTGGTTGGTCCGTACAATCTCCACACACGATAGCGGTTTTATCCTGGGAGGAGAGTGCCCATGTTTTTCCGGTACGGTAGGCGGGCACTATTACCTTAAGGACAGCTCCGGTGACTCCGCTGTCCTTCCGTGGTATTTTCTTTACAGGACTAGTTCATAAAGACCTCGCTGCATTCTGTCCTAGTGCATAATGTCCTCGCAGCCATGTGCATAACGTCCTTGAATTGCTGTCCAGTGCTTAAAGACCTCGTTGTCCAGTGCATAAAGACCTCGTTGTCCAGTGCATAACGTCCTCGCTGTCCAGTGCTTAATGTCCTTGCAGTCCAGTGCTTAATGTCCTCGTACAACAAGGCCGTTTGAAGATATAGAAATTTATTTTCCAACTTTGTTTATTTTGTAATATTCTGAATAAATTATAAATTCAGAATTTTTTTTATTTCCGGGGTCGTTCATCTTCCCCATCTGTTGTAATCCGTACGAGAATTGTAACATTAAATAGTGGTACGTACCTCAATTTTTTTTGCAACTAATACAGTAATACGGGTACTTCTTCAGCAGATCGGGGTAGGGATAGTACTATTTTCGTAGTTATCGTATGTTGTTATTTTTACCAGGTCTTTCAATGAGAGGGCATATCATAGAACAACAACAACCCAGTTGAATCCTACTACAGTAGGGTCTGGGAAGGGTGTGTACGTAGATCTTGCCCCTAATCAGAAGTAGGGAGGCTGTTTCCAAGATACCCCCGGCTCCAACTGCATAAAAAATATGATATGAATCACAATATAACACAGATAAAAGTCCAAATACAGTGGAATGAAAGTCCTGCAAGAAATAGCAAAAAACTCCAACCAAACAAAACACACTACAAAAAACCTCTGAAGCACCGAGCCCCTATCCAGTTACTCTAATCTTAATTCTCCAAAGGTTCCTATCTAAAGTCATATCCTCAGTCAGGGTAAGAAGTCCTAAATCCTGCCTAATCACCTCCTTCCAATTCTTCCTAGGTCTATACCTTCCCCTACTTCCCCCGACAACCGTAATCCTCTCACATCTCCGTACAGGGGCGTTAGCATTCCGTTGTCTCACATGACCAAACCATCTCAACCTCGCTTCCCGCAGCTTATCTTCCACCGGCGCCATGCCTACCTTACTTCGGATAATTTCGTTCGAAATCCTATCCAACCTTGTCTTCCCACACATCCATCGTAACATCCGCATCTCCGCCGCATGCAGATGACACACATGAGTCTTCTTTACCGCCCAACAATCTGCCCCGTATAACATAGCAGGTTTAACTACGGACCGGTAGAACTTACCTTTCATCCTAGGCAAAATCTTCGGATCACACAACACCCCTGAAGTCAACTTCCATTTGGCCCAAGCCACTCCAACACGATGTCCAACATCCCCGTCTAACTCCCCATCAGCCTGAATTACCAAGTCAAGATATCGAAAGTTGTTTACCTTAGGCACTAGGTGAGAGTCAATTTTAACTTCCACTTCTGTTTCCGTTTCCCAACCGCTGAAACGACCTTCCATGTATTTAGTCTTGTTCCTACTTATTCAAAATCCTTTGGTCTCAAGGGCAAGGCGTCATAGTTCCAACTTATCGTTTAGTCCCTCACGCGTGTCGTCGAGAAACACAATATCATCCGCAAAAAGCATGCACAATGGGACCCCTTCTTGAACACCTTGTGTCAGGACGTCCATCAACAAGGCGAACAAAAAAGGGCTAAGGGCAGACCCTCGGTGCAACCCCATCCCTACCGAGAATGACTCAGTCGCCCCCGGAGGTCCTTACCTTAGTCCTAGCCCCACCGTACATATCCTTGATCAAAGGGCATATTAGAGAATAAGAATATAAACTTGCTATGTGCAGTTGAGCTGTTAAGTACTATGTATTCCATTTTCCATTCTTATAATTCTCTCCGTCCCAAATTATTTGTCTTAGTTTTATTTTTATTCCAAATTTAATCACATAATGTGATTTCAAAAAAATACTCTAGGCCGGGGAAGTTGTAAAAATTTGATATATTAAAACTATATCTTAAAAGAATTAATTTTTATCAAAATTTCATTATAATTAAGTTCAGAATTTATATATTGTCAAAGTTAAGACAAAAGTCAAGCTCACGCAAATAATTTGCTACGGAAAGAAGTATTATTGAAAATGATAGATTGTTCGCCACGTAATTATCACGATTTGCAACTCTAAAAACAATAAAAAACACTTTAAAAGCAAGAGAGTAAACTTTGAAAAAAACAATTGTTTTGTCTGAGCCCGGGTTCGAACCGGGGACCTCTAGTGTGTGAGACTAGCGTGATAACCAACTACACCACCCAGACGTTGTGAACTCTTTTCACACGTATAGTGTAGATTCTTTTATCAGTAAACTCTAGAGTACGAAAAAAATTCTCTTCATTTGTCACATTTTTTTCCTTAAATATCACACGATAAAATTTTTACTCTCTTAAAGAAATTGATCAGTTACCCATTCATAAAATTATTCTTAAATTTAATGCAATCCTCTTCATGGGTGGTTTATATAATTTCTTTATTTTTTATGCAAATTTTAGTGCCATAATTATATCTTTTTGTTTTTAAAATTTCCTAAAAATCAAAGTAAAAAGAAGGAACTTCATTCATTTCTGATGGAGAGAATAATTAAACAAAAGGAAAAAACCACTATCCACTTGGTATTATCCTACTTGACCTACTAATGTGGTATGTATGGGTACAAGTATACCCAAATCTTATTCCAATTTATAACAAATATACTCCCTTATTATGTTAATCTTTTCAAAACATTTACGATTTAATGAGGTTGTGTTTGGTATCCGAAATTCAAACTATATAATTGGAATTAGGCATAATAATTTCAATTATGTTGTTTGGTAGCGCGCGCACACACACACATATGGATTTGGAATTGGTAGTACCAAAAATGAATTAGAATTTGAGAATGTAATTTCATCCAAATTAATTCCATCGAATTTCAATACCCAGTTCAATTACCAATCTATTAATTCCGTACATTTAGCGGACCCTATAGTTAGTTCCCGTGATAATGAGTTGTCATGGCTTTCTCAAATCCGCGGCAAAAATCAACTGTCGCAAATTCGGCATATTCTTGTAGTGCTAATTCTTTAGCCAACTCTTTAAAACCTCAATTTGTTACATAATGTTTTTTTAACCTATTTACAAATGTAGTTTTTAAGTACATGTGGTGTGCTAGCATCTAGACATCTTATCAAATATGTTGTGACTTGTAGATTAAGTAATAAGCATGCACACTGTTAGAGTATAAAATCTATCATGGGCTTATGACCACAAGTGTGGGAATTTGCTTGTTTGGATTATGATCTTAGAGCGTTAATGACCAAAAGTCACGAGATCACACACCACTATCATCCAGTTTAAAAATATTAATTTTCACGTGCAGGGTTCAAACTGTTAGAATTTTTTGCTTACAACGGGATTATTTTGGACGTACCGCTCTAGATCTTGCACGTTAGCAGTTTTATCCTAGGAGGAGATCATCCACGATAGCCAGTGCGGGAGGCGGGCGATACTCCTTAAGGATAGCTCCGACGTCTCCGTTTTCTTTTCTTCTTCCATTTGACTTCCGAGCACTGGAGACCTTCTATACTATTTTTTCCCCGTTGTAATCTTTTATTTCATTTTCAACAAAAACAAAAATAAATTTCGTCTAAAAATATAATTACAAGTTTGAGTCTTTAATTGAGTTGTTTCTTTGACACATATTGTCATATTGATAGATCATGGTCATTCCCAAGTTAATTTTGACTCCAAAATAAAAATCAACTTGGGGGTGCAATAGAATGTGGGGAAAGGTGTGTTTGGGTCACGACGGGATGAGAGGTTTACTGGAGAAAGGGGCTTCAGAATACTTCAAATATCTCATAACATTGATTTCCAATATTACAGGAACCAACTATTTTTTTATAGCAATGACATTGAGTCTAAAAATTATTTGGGACCATGACCCTCTACTCACATTTAGTCTAAAAATTTTCTATCGACTTTTTGTGTCCATATAAATATATAAAGGTAAGACTAAAATGACAACAGTGCTACTGGTGTGATTTGCTTACACCAGTTCGTTTAGGGTACCTACGGTGCTTCGTTTGTAAAAACGACGGTTCCTACCCCTAACTCTCTCCCTAAACCTCCACTCCAACCCCATCCTTGGCCCCCCACCCCAGCCCCTCTCCCGCCCCCTCCTTATCATGGCAGTACACTACCTGTAGGGAGGGGGCGGGAGGGGGGGGGGCTGGGGGGCAAGGGTGGGACTGGGGTAGGGGGTTTAGGGGGAGAATTAGGGGGTTAGGAACCATCGTTTTTACAAACGAAGCAACTGCTGTATAAGTAACTGATGTCATTTTAGACGCTCCCATATATAATCCATTAAAATGACATTACAAAACTTTTAACTTTTCACAAATTCAACTGAAGATTTGCAAGGGAAAAAATGGAGTCATCTGACAGGTGGGAAGCCCGAGTCTCCGATGGCGGTGAAAACAGGGAACAATCGGCGAGCTCTGAACACGACGGCGATGACGAGACTCCGATTGGGGACCTGCCAGCGGCGTCGTTAAGGAAGGATGATATGCTGAAAGCTCTCGAAGTCGTGGAGAGGGACTCTATGGCCATTGCACAGAGCTTCACTTGTCTCTTCGCCTCCCTCCGGACTACTCTCTCTGAGGTCCCCCCCCCTCTCTCTCTCTCTCTCGAATTCACTGTAATTTTGACTGTTTTTTTGTTAATTCACCATAATTTTGAAATCACTATAGTTCAGGTACTGTGAATTAGGTATAGAAAGTATGAATATAGATATCATAGATGAATTTGGTTGTCTAGTTTGTGCTGTGGAATGAAATTAGGTTATGATCTCGCCCGCTGGCCACTGCTGTGTCTTGGGAAGTAGTAATTCAGTCACGGATGGATTCTGCAATTGTTGTCATTCTTGTTGCACTTATTCTGTTAAAGTATCAAAGGAGTACTATATTTTATGTTGTATCTTTATATTTTGTCGAGAATCTTTAGAAGAGTATGGGAAGGGGTTCATCGACTATTATATGGATATGTATTATATTGTTTTTACCAAAATGGCAAACCATGCGCTATGTTAATTTGGATCAAGAGAGTAGTTTAATACAGAAATAGCCTCGGTCTCCCGTTTTTTTACAGGGTTTAAGTTGCGCACAACTTGACCCTCCAAACTCCAGCAGAGTTGGCATTATGTTGGGTTTTTTGTTGTTGTAAAGTAACTTTATCTTGTGGAACAATGTGGTTTGGATTTGGAGGGTATTTTTTTCAGTGCATCTTTTCAGAATCAGAGTGAGCTTTTAAGAATATTGATTTAATGAATTTGATAATTCATGTTTAATATTTTCTACCGTATATGTAAGTATTTTTATATATAATTATAAGAAGGGATAGATATTTTGGCATTGCTTTTATTTGACACTGTTCTTACACCGGTCTTAACTTTATAAGGAATATATAAATTTTGCAACTCTGATCTTGGAAAAACATATTTCCCCTCCTGTAGTGCAAAGATTGGCTTTGACCATGTGATGCACACATGCATGAATAACCAGACAACACATCACCCAACACCAACAATATTTTGTTTTATATGCGATGTATGCTTTGGTTGCAATATTTTTTTTTCTTTTCACTATCCTTTAAATTACACTTGAATTGGATAGCTATTCGTGGTGGTGCATTGCTGTAGGATTTTTACACTTGTACTGAGTATATGTTAGGAGTCCTACATCTAAGTATTAAGGAGAAAGAATCTCTTGGATATAATTAGCTAATCGATTGAATTCAATTTACTCTGGTATGGCTCATATGCATTATGGCCTAATGGAATGGCCTAGTCCAATTTTGAGTTTTATCATCATTATATAATGATGAACTATCTTTTACTAAGGAAGGTAGAGTTAATCCTAGGCTTTTCCCTTCTCTAGTTCTCTTTGTCTTACTCCTTTCTGTTACTATGACACACACTAATCTAGATGAAGAAGAAAATGAAGAAATCAAAATCAAGATGATGAAAAAGTTAACAACGAAGAAGAAAAAATGTAGAATAGCTCTCAAGACATTCATGGTAATGCCCAGTGGGTAAACTCCAGGACGGAAGACCTATATATTGATGGTTTCAGAGTATGTACAGTTAAGAGTACATCAACTATTACATCAGGCTCCACAACCTAACACTTTCCCCATTTCTTCCTCTCTTACAATTTTTCCCTAGTCTTTTTCTTATTCTAACTCTATGTTTGTTTGTTCAATAGACTGAACTCCAGCTCAAAACACACACACACACACAAGGTGTATCAACAGGTGTATCTTTGTGGTGACTACATTGTCATGTGTGTTTGTTAACTTTTGTAGGTTACTAGCAATTCCATTGATCATATGAACTGTTTCAGCGATGCAGCTGGCCGTCTTCAAGAATGTGGTATGCGTGACATTCTCCACACCTCTTTATTTCATCCCAAAATCAGGTGCATATTATTTGGGATATGCACATTATTATCTATGTGGCGGTTCACCACCCTAGGACCACCTTAGGATTTTTTTGCAACTTTGGAAGTGAGTATACATGCTTTTTCCCTTAACTTAAAAACTGCCACTGCCAAAATGCCATTTGTTTAAGTGTACCATATCAATTATCAGCTTTATACGTATACAATAAACCCTTTAATAAGTGATGTACAATCATTGAAAGCTCTTTTACAGTTGAGTGAGGCTCAAATTTGTTTTAGCCCATAAAGGACACTCTTAAAGACCTCATCTTATCCGTGCTTAACCATGATATCTGCCCTTATGAAAAACAAAAGCACGGATAAGACGAGGTCTTAAAGAGTGTGTTACATGGGGTAAATAAGAAGGAGCAGACACAAACAGTCATTGTCTATTAGGCAATCACAGTCATTGTCTGTTAGACATTGGTGTTGTCAACCTTGGTGTCATCCGTGGTGTGATTGCATGCCTATTGCTCATATTTGACTTGTTAACATTTTTTATGCCGCAGCTCTTGATGCAGCAACCAAAGGGAACCACTATATAAATTCTAGCCTCAGGTAGTATAGTAGTACCTCCTTCCATTGTCACAGCTCTTTAATTATGCACTCCTTCCTTTTGACACTGATCCTATGGCAGATTAAACGAGGAGATGAAAGGAATTGAAAATCTAGCCTCGCAGCTGTATCCTTCTTCCAAATCTCTCTTAACTTCTACGAACCCATTTGGGACCCCCCCCCCCCCAAATAGTGGTCTTATTTCCCCATCTATTCCCAATGGAGCTAAAAGAGTCATTATAGACCATGTTTTAGTTCCGGACGCATAATGTACTAAAACTTCCATTTCCTCTTTACTTTCAATGAAGTTTTAGGTAGTAAATGCAACAATGCATCTAGGGTCTAAAGGAAAATGAGAAACATCCTTTGTTTTTGAATGGTTAAAGGCTGAATACATCTTGACCCTCCAGACCCCAATAGTGTGGGGTTGTACTGTGCTGTTTTCCTTGAATGTCCGAAGCAAAACCCTTCGGAGAAACGTAGATGCTCTGGACACGGCTGTAAACAGACTCACTCGTTTCCCATGATTCTTTCTTTTTTCTACAATTCAATGAGAGTGTGTATTGTTCATGCGGATCAATTTGGCTTGGATGCAGAACTTTCAAGTGTAGCTTGAAATGCAAAGGTAATTCACCAGCATTAGTAAATAATAATAATAGTAAAAATAATAATCACAATAATTAGTGTGTGTAGTAATTACAATTACTGTTACTATTTTAAACTTTGCTCGAGTTTGATATCACATTGGAACACCAATTTGTTGCAGATGGTCGCCTGATTCTTTGTTCCAGCAGAGATGGAGAAGATGAGTGGAAAATGGATGGATTTTTAAGTTTACATGGAAAGTAGGAGACAAAGAAATATGAGCATGTGTGTTAAAGACAAATCTATCCTTTTGTAATACCCCTCAGTTATTTCCTTTAAAAGAAAGAATTACCCGTTTATGATTCATATTTGCTTTGGCTTCCTTAATGAGATTTATTTCCTTATTAATCTTTCGTAAAAAATGTCAATCAAATGACTATTAAAGGTAGTGTATATTGGTATTTTTCATTGTCAAATTATGAGGAAGTTCTCAAAATAGTCTTTTTTAATTAAATGTTTTCCCAAATCACTCATTTGAGGTTATAATTATAATATCACCCCAGTTGTCGTAGAACTATCGTGGGGAATTTTTTTAAACTATAAAATACTCCATACTATGTAGTTAATTATTGTTTATTGAAGAATATCGACGAAAAATATCTCACTTATGAATCATTATAAAAGTAATTCTTCCTTATTGAAGAGTGCTTTGGAGAAATATCTTACTCGGTACATGAGGTATTTGACTATTTGTCACAAGAGCTAGAGAACTCAAGTTTCACCACACCTTTGATCTCAATGGCTTCCATAGACATCACAGATATACAGTATTATTTTGTATCTGTGATGTCTGTGAATGTATTGGGTTAAGCATGGGATGCAATTTGGGGTTCCTCAAGTTATTTTCTAGTTATAGATATAAATTTGTTGGTTTTGCGACTTGATCTTCGATTCCTGCACTTGCGTCTATGTAAGGTGCCATCGTTTAGAATTAATCTTGGAAGTTTTATATTTCTTTGTTATATTTTGTAGAAATGAGTCAAGCAGAAATAGACAGTTCTCATATAATTATCTAAAAACATAAAAAGAAAATGACTTGAAAATAATTTGTTTCCGGTAATTTACCTAGTTTTCAAATGGAACTTAAATATTACATACGTATTTATGTTGAGCTTAAACTTTTTAAGTGTAGATTTAAGAGTAGAAATTTAAAAAAATGTCCAAAAACATTTTTTTCCTTACGTTGATATCATATGTGATATTTTTGAAACAAAATTATTTGTAAAATATATAAGGTTGTTATTATATCTATCCTTATTTTTGGCTAAATCCACTCTTTTTATGTCAAACTGACAAATTTTTACTCAAGTTTTTAAAGTTCACAAATACGGAATAGCAAATTTGTGAAACCCATCATTTATCAAATTTTTTTATATTTCCAAGAAACGAAAAATGAGAAAAGTATGATTATTATTGTAGGAAAGAAAAAAAGGGTGAAATATTATATTAAAGTTCTGTTTGGTTGATAGGAAACACACGAGGGAAACAGAGGGGAGAAAAATGAGAAGGAAAATGACAAATTTTCACTGTTCCGAAATATATTGAAAAAGAAATGGAATGGAATTAAGGGGTAAACTGAAATTAAGTTGAAGAAAATAGTCGACGCTAAAATAGCTGATGAGACTAAAATTGCTAAGACTTAAGTTTTTTGGCACTCTCTACGCTTAGTTCTTTGTTTATTTTTTCTTGTAAAAGTATTTTAAATTTTTTTATTCAATTCAAAAATATTTTTTTATTTAATATTTGTTTTATTCAATTCAAAAATATTTTTTCGACCTTCCCGATTCTCATGCTCTTCCTCCATACCTCGCTTCCTCCTCACTCTCACTTGCAATCGGTAAGCATCAGCGCCACTCCGCATGACTTCAAGGTTTGGTGGGGTGTCCGAACACCAATAGGATATGGCTTAGGATGACGGGCAGGGAAGAAGTGAAGAGACTATCAAACTTCAACTTTAAGCAATGGTTGGATACTCGCATTGACATGGGTGGCTCGGAGGGTGTGCAAAGTGACCAATCGCACATGGCCTCTAAGTATTTTTAAATTCGGCATTAATTCCAAAACATAAGTATTTTAAAAAAATTAAGTAGTACCCAAAATGTAAATCTTTGACCGGGCCAATTTTAATTTTTTTTATTTATCGGGGCCGGCCCTGCTCGACATTGAAGTAAAGATTAGGACAATCTATGGCGTGGGGTGGCCAACGATATTTGCTATTATTGGCTGGTGGGCATGGATGGAAGTCAAGAATTGATTATGTGTTCAACAATATTGAACATGATGATGAAAAAATTAAAGAAAATTGCATTTTCTATATAAAAAAAATGAAAGTCTTGAAAGCTTTTCGGGCCCAAAATGTCGTCGAAAAACCTTCGGATGAAACCCATCCAGTTACTATGGGCTTATTGGCACGGAGTAAAGGCCTACAAAAACTCGTTGTTCGAGTCATTCCCAAGAGATTGTCAAATGGATCCAGTGACAAAACACTACACGAGGTCATGCACATAATATCGTTGAGGCCTGGATAAAGAAGGATTGGGATGTCACTATTTCTTGTGTGTTCAGAGAACAAAACAGAGTTTGGAGCAGATATTCTCGTCAGGATGGGCAACAACCAAGCTATGATGAGCCTCTGTAGTTCCCTTGACCCAAACGCACCATGCACAGTGCCTTTGGTCCGGGGACTACAGATGATGCCCCAGGCATAAATAGGCTATAATTCAGTATAGGCTAATATTAAGCTTTGGAACAATATGAATCTTAATTCCAAGTATACAACCAGTATAACTGAAGGGTGAAAATTAAGCACTTCTGTAGTGTTCACCACACGATTGAATTCGATTTACGAAGCAAAGCCGTGAGAATATGTATTTGGGACAAGTCAATAATCTATTTACCCAAACAAATGCGGTGTATTCGGTGTGTTGTTTGGTTGGGAAGAAATTCCTGCAAAATGAGTAGAAGTTAGGAGTATAAATGAAATATGAGACGAGACGAGACACATTTGTTGCCTGCCAAACAAAGGATGTTTGGATAGACGATTGACATGTAATACGATTGCATATTTTTATCTTTTGATTTTTCTTATGAAATCGTAAATTTTTTGTGTATCAAGATATAGATAAAGCCACCCGAAGCCATCCATCCAAACATACACTAAGGTTCAATCAAATGGCAGAAGTGGGGGGAGGATTGTACCTTCATCTCCCTCTAAGGGCAGCAAACTGGGCAGCCAAATCTTCGTAGTCCGGTAATTTTGGATGGACATGCCGTGCCTGGTGGTCGGGCTGAAAGGTGTTGGCACGTGTGTAAACCTTCGGTGCCACTGAAGGAGTAGCCTGTTCGTGTGGGAAAGAGTGAGATCTCGTTGGCTGTGGAGGCACATTACCAGAGCTCACTTCGTGTGGGGTTTGATTGGTATGTGCCTTTTTCCTCAACTTTTCAATGTCATAGTCGGATGATTTCCGACTATAGTGCATGAGGAGTTTGTCTATCACCACTTCCTCCTCGTCTCTATGGGGGTGGGGCCTTGACCTACCGTCAATATTCTCTGGGGACTTGTGATGGTTTCTCCTAACTGATTTTGGTTTTGACACAGAACTTTCATCCTTGGAAGGAAAGGCTCTATTCTGAGGATGTTCTGATTCCTTGTCGTGGGAAGAGGGTCCCACGGGATGCCTGTTAGATTCAGAGACAGATAGCTCAGATCCTCCGGTGGTTTTGTCTTTTGATTTGACATAGGGCGGAGGACGTCCATAGCTATAATGAGATTTTACGTTGTTATTGTTCTCATTGTCCCTTTCATCCGGGGGTTCCCTTGTTGAGGTCACATTGTGAATGTGAATGTCTCTGTTTTTGCTATTTTGCCCTTCTTGCTTTTCATACCCGTACTTCTCTTTCTTAGTTCTGTTGTTTTCGACTATAAATTCATCCCTTTTGGGGAGTTGAATATCATTCTTTCCTGCCACGGAATGGGTTCCCTCCTTGTTGGCGATCAGTTTATATTCATTAACTTTTTCCTTCCTCCCTCCAGATGAATGATCATCCCGCTTGGCTTCCCTGTCTCTGCCATGTGTCATTACCTGGGTATCCTTTGAAGCCTCGGGTTTTTTTTCTGACAAAACATTCTGGCCGTTGGGTTTCGAGAAACTGCCATTTTGGCTACGGAGATTACGGTTTCCAGGAGAGTGTGAAGGTTCGACCTTGTTTGCCTTTCCCTGTGAATTAACCAGAGTATTAAAAATCATTCATCTCTTATTTATTCAACTGCTCAATGCTAAAAGTTCAATAGTTTGCAAACACTTGAGCTTTTTAATGTTTAAAGAAAGGGGAAAAGTGGAAAATGGTATGGGAAGGGGAAAATAGCTAAGGAATACAATTTTTTTTATATATAAAGTCGCACTTTGGAAAATATCAAAGAAAATAAAATTTGATTAAAACTTTTTGAACTTTTACATGCATTTATATTTCTTAGTCTTATTTGAAAAAAAATTCTTAGTCTTTATACAACAAAGACGACAACAAACTCATTACAATTAGTGGGGTCTGGTGAGGGTCGGTGTGCCCAAACCTTAACCCTACCACTAGTAGATTCTTGCTCTTTATATGATAGAAATATAAAAATGAAATGAGTTTGAACAAATATCTAAAACTAAGTTATTGAGAATTGTTCTAATTTTTTTACAAGATTTCTTTTTACATTTTCGTTCCAAGGCATTTTTCTAGTTCCAATAGGACCCTTAAAGTTGACAGTTGACAGCTGCCTATGTATATATACCCTTTGGCCACTTTCTCTAGCAAACTAACTTTTCTATCTTCCCTAGAAAGATAAAGATATACCTCCCCACATGACATCCTCAGTTGAAAGTCAGCTGAGTCCCATTGTACTTGAAATTCCAAAGCTATATCGTGCATCAGCTGGATTCTCTTCTCCATGGCAGGGGTTTTTGAAGCTAATTGCTCCACAAACTAGCAATAATGACTGAAGATAATAAGAACTCAAGAATTTATGCAACTCAACACACCATCTCACACACAGCGAGACGATTTAGTCCCCGACATCCGACAATGAGAATATGGACTCTGACTCCTTTTGGTTCTCAACTTTCTTTCCGACATAATATGGTCCTTGTCTATGCGATTCAGACTCATATTAGTTTTCAAAAGCATTTTATTTTAATTGTGAATGATATTTTTATCAGTTGAGTAATAAATTAGGTCCAAAATTCTGTTCATGGCCAATTAAGTCCAAAATTTTGCCCAAATTTTGTGAGTAGACAAAAGTCACAAAACCACCTCTCTTGTTTGGAGCCAAATATATTTGAAAACTAAGTTGGGTCAAAAACAAATATCTAAGGATCAAATTGAGGAGTCCAGACCAAATATACCTTTTGATTGACAAAACATTCTAAGCCATTTCCATATCTCTGCAGAAAGAGATCCCTGAGATCACGTAATTCTGGCAAATCAGAGAATCTTGCTGCAGCAAACATAACGGATGCCACGGCCTCGCGGCATTCTTCGGGGCAACCACTGGATAAAAAAATTAAAAAATAAAGAATTATTATACTCAACTTTAATTGGACCATAATAAAGTTTTTAAAATATATACTCTAGCAATTCCTGAAGATGGATTTCTGCCCACAACGAAGTATGGGGAAAAGTGATTTATTGCAGCCAGCTACTGGTCATAATAGTTGAAATCCTTGTACTGTCGAGAAGTTCAACGAAGAATACTCCGTACTTCTCAATTCGATGTAACAAACTAACATATGCAGACGAATCCAATTATCCGAACATACACATTACTCCGTATATCACAGTCCGAGGTAGGGTCTGGGAAGGTGAGATATACTCATACCTTACTTCGACCCCTAGGAGTAGAGGGACTGTGTTTGTGAATCCAAGTCAAAACATTCAACCGAGAAAGTGGCATTGTCATGGCTTCCTTAGTTATACCTTTGTTTTTGCATGCTCGAGAGCTGCTTCTTAATGTGTTCACAAGATAGCTCAATAAAACCATAGCAAGATAAAATGCGTTCACCAGCCATAAATTCTTCAGTCTGTACACACAAATCCATAAAACAACATGCAACCATGTCACAATTAACCTTGGGGTACCCCAAGCATGACTTATTGCAAGGAAGAACAAAAAAAAAGCTAAAATCACAGTTGACCAGACTACAGAGAGTGAAAAACAATTTATTCAATGATCCACAGGGAGAAGCGAAAATATACGAGTATATCATTCAATTTTTTATTATTCTGGCCCCAAATGTCTCTTCTATTCGAGTGGAGGAGTATTATATACTGTGATTATGTTTAGATCAAAATCTTCTCGACAGAAACGACATGATCTGTCTGGTTTTTCAGGCATATACTCCGTAATTACATAATTTCATTTTCAGAAATTCATTTCTACTGTTCCATTATGTATCAGGTTTACCGTTATCAGACCAAGAAGAATAAACACTAGCAGTGGAAATTAAATCTAGCCTATGAACGAAACAAATCGAAACCGTTTAAAAGGCGGAAAAAATTAGACTAAATCAAATGAACTAAAGGGAGATGACGAGAAAAGCAGTTACCCTTCCATAGGCATTGACGGCGAGGCCATTGGCAATCAATTTCGCAAGGTCGTCCTTGAGAAACCTCTGCTTTGCCTCCGCTCTCCGCCGCGCCAGTTCGATCCGCGATCCGGTCCCCTTAATCAACGACTTGCTGTCCAGTTCAACACAAGTCCAGTCAATTCCAGGCACAAAAAACTCACAAACACTACACAATATGAATAGAGACCAATCTCACCATTTGGAGCTGAATCCGCGGCCGAGAATACCGTCAAGCATCTCCGATCTCCGGCAAGCAACTTCGTCGTTAAAATTGAGACTGCTCTGCAGCGGATGCGGATGCGGAGGCTCCGATTCAGAAGGCGAACTGGCGAAGTCGCCTAGTTACCAGTACTGATCTCGCATTCAACTGAACAGATCCGCCATTCGAGACAGCTCGGAGAGGATCTTCTACCGGAAGGCATATACTCCTCTTTTTGAACGTGTAGAGACAGGGGAGCACAGCTGTATATACAGCTGAAATATACGCCGTATATATATATATATATACAGATTACGGCTAATTTAAGGAAAGAGAATTATACGGAGTAAAAAGGTTAGTGGAGGTGCTGACTCAGCTGGGGGGGATTCCACGCTGAAATTGAATTTTGTCTTACTTTAAACTCTTTTTTATAAGGATAGAGAGAAGTAGGGAGTAATTTACTCGCAGTTTTCAAACTGCCTGTGCATTGCCGGTTGGGAAATAAATTTTACTTGAAAAATTAATTTTTATTGTTAATATTTGAAAATAAGTATTAATATTTGAAAACTGATATTAAATACTTGAATAAAATTTGAATTTTTTTTTGTAGAAATCACCTTAAATAAGACTAAAACATAGAGAAAAGTACCAAAATAGGACTTTCATGTTTTTTTCCCGAAATATGACTTTGCACTGTGATAATGCGACTTTCATTATAGTAATGTGGCAGTGTACATGTGCACATTACTATACTTTTTGGATAACGTATATGACCATGTTTGGTAATGTAAGTCCTATTTCGGGAATAAAAACATGGAAGTCCTATTTTGACATAATTTCAATTTTTTAGTCCTACTTTGGTCTTTCTCCCCGACATTAATTAGTTGAAAAATTATTCATTTTGGGAATTTTTTTGGATTTATAAAGATATGGAAAGATATTAAAGATTTTAATTAAGGATTTGTTTCATATTCCAACAAAGTAATAATATTCGATATTTTGAATGAAAGATTTTTTTTCTCATTCCAACAACTTTTTTTGAGTATTAGAATTTTGTTGGAATTTCAATTCTAAATCTCTTCCTCTTCATTATAAATATCAGAACATGTATTCGAGGAAAAAAAATTGAGAGCCAATTGTACAAAATGAAATTTATTTAAAAATGAAATTAGAAAAAAATACCGAGTACTACCTAATATATATTTCAACTTTTTCTTACTTTTCAAAACTCTTTTGAGTTTATTGCAATTTCTATCGATTTCTTTTAGGGTCCGTTTGGTATACGGAATTAATGAAATTGGAATTGAAATTCCATGAGATTCAATTCCATATAATTGAATTCACCAATTCCCATTCTTTTTTTGCACTATCAATTTCAAATCCACATAATTTTTGTGGTACCAAACACCAGAATTGGAATTGAAGTCTTCAATTCCAATTCAATAGTTTGAATTCCGTGTACCAAACGGTTAATTCCTTCTATTTTTATTTCAAGTATTTACTATTTTTTACACGTCATCCAATTTTTTTGAACTCCTAATTTATTCTATGTTAGAGTCTATCTCACATAAAAAGTTGAAGAGAAAAGTATTTGGTATATAAGCCCTTAGAATAATTAAATAATCGATTATATTTAATCTTCTAATGTAGTTCAACCCAAGTGTCTTACTACTAGGAGTGTTCAATCGGATCGATCCGATCCGAAAATTCAGATATTCGAAAATTTCGGATCATGTAAAACTCATTCCATATCCGATCCGAAAATATTCAGATATCCAAAATTCGGATATCCGATTTTTCGGATCGGATCACTGGATTATCCGAAAAGTTGAGTTTTTAGCCAAAATTTACAAAAAAAAAAGGTAAAATATCAAAATCAACCCAAAATATCAAATTCAATATAGATTTACTAAAAGAAAAATTTCACCACTAGATAATGGCCTAATAAAAAATGATACCAAATTTAATTTGGGAGTAACTTTGGTAATTTTGTCTAAACAAAAAAAATACTATTAAAACAAAAGATTATAACATGCTAATGTAAAAAGTCCAATATGGTTTAGTTCCAAAATCAACATAAAATTACATTTAAACATAAAGTCATAATATATATCTATAAAATTTCAAAAACATATAGCAAAAAAAATCGGATATCCGATTATCCGAAAAATTCCAGAAATTGAATCCATATCCGATCCGATTTTTTTGGATATCCGATCCGAAATATCCGAAAGCTAAAATATCGGATCGGATATCCATTTTTCAGATCGGATTGGCCCGGATCGTGGACGGATATTTCGGATCGGATATTTTTGAACACCCCTACTTACTGCATAGTCTAGTGATCCATAGGTCATTCTAATTTTGTAATGGTGTCAGAGCTAATTTCAGCCCACCTCGTTTGTTAAGGTGTTTGTACAAAAAGTCAAGTGATGTGAATTTATTTGCAAGTGGTCAACCGGTTATATTCAAAATGACATAGTTGTCCACTTGATGGTGAGAGGTAGGGTCTATCCCATATCAGAAGTTGAAGAAAAAATAATCGGAATATAAGTTTTTGAATTGAACTAAGTAATCGATTGAATTCAATCTTTTAATGTGATTCAATTCAAATGTCTTAACTCAATCTAATAAACCTTTCCACATCCTAAATTCTACTCCCTCCGTTCCTGAAAATCTTTCTCCTTTCTTTTTTCATTCATCGCAAAAACTCTTTTTCATTTATATTAAAAAGTCACTTTTACCCCTACTAGTTCTTAATCTACATATCACACCACATCTATTCACAATTAATCTACCTATCAAATCCTAATTTTACTCATCACATCTAAAGACATTTTTAGAAACTCAATCCCAAAATACGTTCCTCTTAAATCTCATAAGAATCAAACCTCTAATGTTTTTGAGATGTAGACAGAGAAAGCATCATTCTAATTTCTAATATTCAAATCTGTTTTTCGAATCTTAAAAACAAAGCCAGCAATCAACGGGAAAAGCAAACCATTGAGCCGTAAAAGAAGAAGATAAACAGACGAAAGCTAAAACACTAAGAGGGAGGAAAAAAAAAGTAAAAGCATAGACAATCAAAACGGAATTTTCACTTGGCAAGTAATTGAATGAAAGACATTGGTGTCCTCCCTACGAGCTAGAGAGCACGAGGAAAGAGACAATTTAGAAGAGAATTTATTAGATGAATTTTAGACATTTAAAAAAATGGACATTTAAATAAGGAGAAGTATTAAACACACACATATCTTAATTCTTAATTACTCCAGGGTAGTTTATTACTCTCTCCGTCCATAAAAACTTGTCTCCTTTCTTTTTTCGTCTGTCCCAAAGAACATTTTTTATTTCTATAAAAAATCACTTTTACCCCTTACTTTTTCAAACTCTATCTATCACATCATGCATTTTAACTAATAATCTACCCATCAAATCCTACTTTTACTCATCACATCAAAGGACATTTTTGGAAATTCAATACCAAAATACACTCCTATTAAATCTTTTCAAAATCAAAACATCTCATGTTTAAAGGGACGAAGAGAGTATACATCTAACTAGTTTTCTACCCCGTGCTACGCACAGACTTGTTATTAGGGCTCGTTGTCATAATGTTATTGAGGCGCTGGTTGGAAATGGAGGGTTTGGTTTATGATTTGATTTTCTTCCGTGCTACGCTTGGACATGTGTTAAAGGGTTGTGTATGTTTTGGTTTTGTAGGATTTTGAAATACTACATTGTATCCTTTTGTTTTGTGAAATGTGAAGAATGATATTATTGTATTTTGGGGTTTTATAATTTGATGTTGGTGGTTGAAGAGATTCATTTTTTTGTAATGATTTTAGATGTTCGTTTTAGCATTGTGCTAGTTGATGTTCGTTTTGGCATTTTGATGTTCGTTGGGGTAAAATGACGGTTGGGCGTCTGTACCGGTTATCATTGAAGCGAGGATTGCGAAGGATGAACATCAATGCTTGGTGTCTGTGCACATTGGCGTTTATTGTTTGAGGTCTGTACACGTTGGCGTTTAATGCCATGTCACGTATGACACGTGTCAACACTACGACCATTAAACTGTCATATATATGTGTGTGTGTGTGTGTTCAGGTGAGAATGCGATCTTATGAAAAAATAAGAATGAATCTGGTGCTTTAGATTATGATATCTAAGAGTTAGAATTGCATCAAAATTAGGTACACCAAAATTACATCCAAGAATTTAAATGGATTACTTTAACTTATGACACTAACTCCTACACCTTAATTGGAATATTCAATCTCTATTATTGCTCCCCCCCTCCCCAGCATTATACTGCTAGCAAAGTGTGGAGAAGCGGGAGGGTAGAGGGCATAGAGTAGAGAGTGGACAAGGGTAGGAGTTTGTGAGGGTTGAAACTATTGACACCAAAGGTGTCCCAATGAAATCACTATCGTCGTGATTTGACACCAATAACATCGATGCCAACATAGACTTATTCTCTCTTACTTTATTACGGGAGCGAGGAGAACTTCATTTGTATACCAAGACAAAAATAGATACACACTCTGACACTCATACTAAACGTATATGTATGCTAGTGTACACCAAGTGGAGTTTTCGAAGTATTTTTTTCTACTTTAGTATCACCAAAAGCTATAAATGATAAATTGCACCAAGATGGCATTCCATATTAGAGATCACATGTTCAATTCACAATATAACATAACTATCGGTACATATACAAAAATTTCAATAAAGTTACTAGTGCTAAAAAAGGATAAATTGCACAACCTTTCAACTTTCGTTTTTTGCTAGGAGTATTAGAAAGTAATGGTTGGTAATAGTCAGATTAGGAGAAAAACTTTATAGATAAGAATTTAAAGTAAATTTTACATTTGGTCATTTATAATAAGAATATAATGTCTGATGCAAAAGTGATGACAGTATGATAAAAAAGTGATAAAAATGTAATATGATAGTGCGATGGACCACTGACGTTAGTGACCGAGAACGACACTTTGGTGGATGGAAAAGGCGAATGGCAAAGGGGCAGAGGCGGTGTGATAGTGTAGTAAATGTGCCAATGTATTAATGACATTATCAACTTATATTTGTATTAAAAGATTTAGGACTCTAATTTTAGAATTTTCGTGTGGGAGAACTCTATAAATAAGAAAAAAAGTATAAAAATACTAAAATAAAAGTACTTACTTTAATTTTTAATACCAATATAGGAGTCTGCCTCGCCATTTCCAAG